TTTTTCGCAGCTAAAATGTTCTTCTCGTTCTGTCTCTCTCTATCGCATTTCTCTTCTCGCTGGGTATATGAGGCCTTTTTTCCGCCTTTTCTTCCTCTTTCCTTCCGATCGGCGAATCGCCGTCCGCGCCTCGTCCAGAGTCACGCTAACACCTCGATCAGGCAAGGTGTATTTATCACGTGCTATTCGGATCAATGCTGTTCCGTAGTGGGCATCGCTTTTTTTTTTCTACTACTTATGCCCGCTTGTTAGTTTTCTGCTTTCTTTTTTTCATCTTCTCAACGCACTTTCGATCAGAGTGAAAAACCTCTGGGAAGCTGAAAAGCTGAACAGACAAAATGCTGTCTGGTATATGATTTGAAGTCTGTCCCCCTGCAGGCAGGGGAACAGCCTTCATCTCATGTTCGCTACTCTCGTGGTCCTGACAATCAGACCATCCAACGTCGCTAACAGATCAGGTCACCTCCGCAGATCTGCCACTCGCAGCAGGTTAGTTCCCTTTCCCCCTTTCTCTCCTGCCCATTCGTCGCCTTGCGAATTGTTTCGAAGATGATAAAATTCTTTTCTCTTCTTTATCCTCTGAATCGTCCATGAGGAGACAGTTCGGACCTCCCTTTCCCGGTTGGTCTGCTACTTGCCAGTATATTTGGTCTGAGAAACAATTCGCACCATGGCTTGTGTGATTCACACGAAAACTCGTTGCACAATGAAGTTCGTTGAACCCTTGGCTAATGTATGCTATAGCAGTTCTACCGCTTCCCGAAATGACGTCGAACATACTGAGCGACATCAGGGTGTCGGCGGGTCGTCGATCATCTATATATGCACGTCGTAGTCCCGGAAAATAGCTTCAGATACAATGAAATCCAAGAATCATTGCCTCCTTTAACATGCTCTCTATACAATCCTGTCTTTTGTAATTATTTTGTAGAATGTATTTCTTCTGATACTGGTATCGGCCTACATAACCCATGTCTACCAGTCCAGGCCCTAGGATTCGGCATCGCTTCGCCGCTTGCTAGACCTACTATACTCGTGGGAGTTCGTAGTCGGTGATGGTCTCGCCTTTGTGGCTCTACGGTCTATCGGAGCCAGTTCTCAGTTGACATCTTCTAGTTCCCAGCATCGCCTGCTTGAGCGTAAATTAAGCATTATTGTAGGACACATCCATTCTTCTTCGTGGAGAGTCTTTGCGAAACTGCCCCATCTAAAGCTTCAAATAGTCAATCTATACAGTGTAATATTATTAGCATGCTCCGCTGCTATCGTCGGTACGTAGCGCGGTGCTAATCTTCTACAGGTGCTTCTGCAGCGCGGAGATTGCAGATCACGGCACTATCACGTGAGCCCAGTTTGTTCTCCGCCCGCCCCCAGCAGGAAGCGGACAAGGTAGAAAGTCCTTGTTCGGGCTCCTACTCCGTAATCGCAACTTATCCGCCGATGCAGACGAAGGCTTTGGTGCAGCATTAGCACTCTCTTCCGTACCTCATAATCTAGTGGCCTTGCTCGCCCTGGATGTCTTCGCCAATGCTCCAAGGCAGGTTCCTTTGGTCTCTGGCGCGACCCTGTCGGATTATCGCCCATCGCCGCTTTCCCGCCGCAATCCTCGCCCATTCACGACGATTCCATCCCTCGCCAGCGTGGCTCTCATCCACACCGTCTGACCCGCAGGATCCTCGCGACTCGGCGAAAGATACCGTCCCCGGTGATATTCCGACCCTAAACGCTGATCCAGACTTCGCCCACCGCGATACCTCCGAGACCAAATCGGCGTCGGAACAGCATGAAAACAAGAATGATAAGCCCTACGGTTCCGCTCTTCGGAGGGTGATGAGGAACCGGAGAACGTCTGCGCAACTAACTGTTCCCGTCACTACGGTACCGGAGTGGTTTCGGCAGCGCAACATCGTCGTTCATGATGGGGAGGGCGAAAACGCCGGAGTCTCGCTACAACAAGTGCAGATTCGGTCATCGTCGGATCTCAACGCGGAGAAAGCGTCCTCAGTTGAAAAGCTCGGCCACGGTGGTGATGGCCAGGGCCCACCGGCCTCAGACGACTCGACGCCACAAGAGAACCGCTACGCCTTGACAGATGCCATGTGGGAGGAGCTTTGTGCATCTGCACGCGCTGGTATGCGTCTGCCGCCGGCAAGGTACGCCCAAGAACCCTCAGCTCGGAAGTCACATCTGGTCCTGCAGTATCCGGGTGCAGATGGGATCTTGTTTTTGGACGCGGTAGTCAAGAGGTTGGCTCAGGAGGTTGGCGCAGACCTGGTGACGCTGAACGCGCAGGACATCGCAGAGTTATGCAGCGAACAGGATCTTACGGATACCGGTAAAACCGACGCGATTCGATCCCTGGGCTACGACGTATATCGACCTACCCTGCCGGAGGTTTCGCAGGATGGAGTGGATTCGAGCGAGGTCGACAACGACGACGACACTCTGCAACCATTGCACTCATCCTCCGATCTCCCGGCAGTGGGCCAAAGATTTATCTTAGGATCGTCTGGGGAGATTCATGACGTACTGTCTAGGTTGAAGCTGTTCAACCCGGCAGCGGATGGCGCGAACGCCGCATCGAAACCAGAGAGTAGACGACTTCGGCTTGCCCGTCAACTCATTTCCCCCTCTAGCAGAAAGCCTACACCACCATCGTTGAAAGAGGCGGATGGCGACACGCCCGTAAAAGCGGCAGTTCCCGAGGTCGACGCGACCCCAGCCGCTCGCGATGTCATCGTCCAGGTCCAGGACTATGACGAGATCCAGGATACTCGTGAAGGTGCCAAGTTTATAATCATCTTGCGAAAAGCGATCGAAGAAAAGCGCAAGGCCGGATCCCGGGTCTTGTTTGTTGGGACGATGGCACAGGAAGCTGCACCCGGGGCAGATTCCTCCCGATTAATGCAGAACGCTCCTGATGACCAGTTTTCCCAAGTGCTGCTCGTCACACCTGACATGGGCTCGGAGGTGGCAGCGCGTACATTTTCAGAGGACCAACGAAAGCGGACGTTAGATATCAACATCCGACACATCCAGGAGATGCTTCGCACGCGACTGCACGAACAAGCCGCCGCACTTAAGGACGATATCTTCCGTGATCGTGCCTGGCCATTGGACCCATCTCTTGTGAAGCAGAGTGGCTTGGAAGAGCGGTACTGGTCATACTCCCAAGTTCACTGGGTATGCACGCTGGCACTCGGCTCTCTTAAGGCTGGTGAACAGCTTGGTTTCGAGCACATTCGTCGAGGAATTGAAATGACACAGCAGAGCGAGCGCGCCAAGAAAGACTGGCTGCAAGAAAAGGCGCCCAAAGCCAAAACAGGAGGCGCGGCTGGTGACCGGGAGCGCTTGCTGAGCTCTCTACGAAAGACGTGCAACTCATACGAGAAGAAACTGCTGAACGGAGTTGTTGATGCGCAGAGCATCCGGACCACGTTTTCGGACGTTCATGTGCCCCCAGAGACCATCGACGCCTTGAAAACGCTGACTTCGTTGTCTTTGATTCGTCCCGAAGCGTTTACCTACGGTGTTCTGGCTACGGACAAGATCCCCGGTCTACTGCTCTACGGCCCGCCTGGAACAGGTAAGACACTCCTGGCCAAGGCTGTAGCCCGCGAGAGTGGTGCCACTGTTCTCGAGGTCAGCGGCTCGGAGGTTTATGACATGTACGTGGGTGAAGGTGAGAAGAACGTCAAGGCTATCTTCACGCTCGCGAAGAAGCTCAGCCCCTGTGTTGTTTTCATTGATGAGGCGGACGCCATTTTCTGCTCTCGGACCCGTGCCAGCAGTCGTACCTCGCACCGGGAGCTCATCAACCAGTTCCTGCGCGAGTGGGACGGAATGAATGACCTCTCTGCGTTCATCATGGTTGCCACGAACCGACCTTTTGATCTGGATGATGCTGTTCTCCGACGTCTCCCCCGACGCCTTCTCGTTGATCTTCCGACTGAACAGGATCGGCAGGCCATCTTGAAGATCCATCTTAAAGACGAACTTCTCGACAGCACAATAGACCTTGCGGAACTGGCGCGCCGTACTCCGCTATATTCAGGTTCTGATTTGAAGAATCTTTCAGTGGCTGCCGCCTTGGCTTGCGTGCGAGAGGAGAACGAGCTGGCGGCACAGCACCAAGGCGACGAGCCCTACCAGTATCCAGCGCGACGCACGTTGACCTGGAAGCACTTCGAGCGGGGGATGGAGGAAATCAGTGCATCCATCAGCGAGGACATGGCGTCCTTGTCCGCAATCCGGAAGTTCGATGAACAATATGGTGATCGCAAAGGACGGCGGAAGAAGAGTCCTGGGTGGGGATTTATCCCAATTGGTGCAGACGCATCAGCAGCGGCCGAGGAGGCTGCGCGCGTCCGGACCTGATCTTGGGGGCGATGAGTATTCTTGTATAGATCGACTTTTATTCTCTCTACTACTTGGTTTTGGAGGTTACGGATTGGAGTGGACTGGGATGGAAAGGCAGGCAGGCAATGACGATCAATTGTACACTAATTAGCGACATGAACCTGTAACAATATTGCAGATACCTGCTATCTTCTGGAATAGAATGTTTTGTTTCTTCGTACCTAGAAATGTCTGAATTCAAGGTATATAGTAATATGAAGTGGTTGAACGTGCAGTGCAGTACTTCCGGAAGAAGTAAGCCGGGGAAGGGGCTCGACCTCGGAATGACATCGACGAAACGCCGCCGCCTTTGGATCAGCCAACCTTTTCGGCTCCTCCTCAGTTGCAACAACCTCCCCCCCCCACACTCTCCAGCAGATTTTCCTTCATTCCGCTTGTCTTAGCCTACTTTTGTTCTCTTGTCAATTCTGTCGCCATTTTCTCTCATCTCTTTTTAAAAGGCTTCAATCTTCTGGTCTTGGCTTGATCTTCCTCGGGATTGTCGCCGTCATCCTGAATTTTTTTTCCAGTTGTTTCCCCGCAGCTTCTATTTTTACCCCTCTGCTCGACCTGTCACATTGCACTCACCCACCATGTCAACCACCGAGGCCCGCGATGCGGCCATCCGAGAGGCCAAACAATATGTCCGCGACACAGTGCGAAATGACTGGGTCTTTGAACTGTCCCCCGAATACGGCATTCCTTCGTTCTCATCACCGCCGACTCCGGAGCAGGACGTGCTCGAATGGCGCTTGCGCGAATACGACAGTTCCGGCTCCGAACTGGAACCCCAGTCCTCCCCGACAATCAACCCCGCTGATGTCCAGCAGCTGCCGGGCTTCACGCCGTCGGAGATCTCCAGCCCCATCGCGACACCCCTGGGCGATGATTCGGAGCGCCGGCGCAAACGCCGCCGCCAGATGGAGGAGGAGATGCGCTGGAACGAGGGGCTGCGCGCGTGGGTTGAGCGACGAGATGCGTGGTCGGGCGCCCACACCAAGGACGAGATCCGCGCCAAAAACCTGAAGAAGCACCAGCAGCAGCAGGAGGAGGGCCACGCGACCGAGTCCTCGTTATCGTCATCGGACGCGGCAGTGCAGAGCCCGCCCAGGTCTCCGAGTAGCGACCTGGTCGCCAGGACGGAAGCTGCCCTTAGCCTTGGAGAGCCGAAGAACCTGGCGCAGCTGGATGGCGAGGAGGCTGAACCATTGACAGTCGCGGACGACAGGAAGGAACCGACCGCTTCCACGGAGACCATCATCACCGAACCGGGCCCCCAGAAAGAGACCTCCAGCGCCACCACGGAGACTTCATCCTCCGAACAACCGCAAGCGCAACAGCCGCTTCGAACACTCGAAGAGCCCTTCATACCCGTCGTCCCCTCCCTGATCTCGGGGACCAATCCCATCCGCGCCTCCATCACGCCAGCCATGTACCCCTCCATCTACTCCAAAGTCGTCATCCAGGGTCTCACGCCCACCGTCCCCATCAACCTCGCCGACGTCACCAAAGCCATGGTCCAAGGCTGGAAGGCCGACGGCCAATGGCCCCCCAAACCGACTCAGACCTCGATTGTTCTACAGGACGACGCGACCATCCCTCGCCGACCGGAGGACAGCACCACGACGGCGGCAGTAGCAGCAGCAGCAGGCGGGGACCGCGTGCCTTCATCGCCCGAGTCGAAACGCCGCTCCGGCGTCGCCAGTGCCGTCCGCAAGGTGTTCCATTTCTCGGGGTTCCACCCCCACCCATTCCACCGGAGAGGCTCCTCCAGTCAACAAAATACTGAATCCCAAACTCAAGCTGGCGGTGAGTCCGGAGCGAATATTGCACAGTGAGATTTGAGCAATCAAAAGCTGAGACTGTTCGATCGCAGCGGCTGGACTCATCCAGGAATAACCTCGAATGGAGCGGCATTATTACCGTCGCCATCCTCGTCTCCAATATTATGATCTCTCTTATTGCCCCGAATTCCCCCACTTGTATCTACTTTACTGCTCCTGGAATGTTGCATGCATCATCCCCCTCGCCGCCTTCACTCTCTACCCTTACTCTTGAATAATGACGTCTCTTTCTTCTTGATTACATGTCACTTATGTACGGTTATGGTTCGATCATGATACTCTGCCTTTTTTTTTCTCTTTCTTAATGTTGCTGATGGATACTTATGTTATTATGACGTAAGCTGATGCGTTGGATCCTCTTTAAATTCCTAGCCTCATGCATGCAGGAGGGTATTTTCTTTATTTGTTGCCTCAATTTCTACTTCTGGTTAGAGCATACAGAATCATGAATATCCCAGATTGTCGTCAATGCACGGGGCTTAGACCCAACCAGGCGGATCATTCGATATATGGATTCCGAGCCACTGTTCCCTCGTTTACATCTTCAAACTCGTACAGGGAGTTCTGTCCTTCTTTGAGCGTACTATCTAAAGCTGCAATAAGCGGCTTGGACTTTGAATGAAGTAGTTTCCGATGGATTTTGAACGATGGTCCCGTCTGACGAATTCGAAGGGACACGAAGTCCGACTCCAAAAGGCTGACGAATGTAAGCATCACGTATATTCATCTTGAAGAGAGACATACTCGATGCCTGGTATCTCATGTGTCCCTGGCACCTTTTCGTCAGCTAGTTGAGGGGAGAGTTGAGGTTCTGCGTGCAATAGGTGGAGGATAGTCTTCTAAATGATTAGACTGAGAAGCTTCTCTAAAAGGGAGCGACTTCAGAAATTTGCGATTATATTTCCCTTTGCGCCCCATTGTATCACTTCAACGAAGTCAAAGAGCATCCTATCGGGTTTGAAGTATCTGACTTCCTCTATCAATACGTGTTCTGTTTCTATTGATGGGAGTCATGATTCCCGGTCAAAGTCGTGGTGATCTAGCCAAGTCATACTCGATCGCATTGTATCAAGACATCTGAAAACCAATCATCGCAGAATAAAAACTTTAGTCCCGACCATCTTGGTGCATGAGCCTCGTTCACGTCAATTTTGAACCAGCTTGGTCAACTTGGAAGGACCGCGGGTAGAGAAATGGCGAGTTATAGGCTTGAGCGATGATTGTGCGGGTGTTCCATCAATCTTACTTCACAGTCATTCTAGATCTGAACATTCCTCCAGTAAATGTACTAGGCTTACTGCTTCAAATTTCCGAATAGCATCTTTGTACGTTCCCTCGACGCGAGAATTAGTGTGGCCTGCGGGGAGATTTGTAGCCAGTTTCTCGGTCGCCGAAGCATGCTGTAGCCGGTTAACGTGATGGAAAGTGCGTATAGCTAATGCAACGCTGGAGCGGACATGCTCGACCGGGCGGAGAGGCTTGAGGGAGACTTGCCCAGGAGTTCAACCTAGAATGACAACTCTCTCGGTCGGTTCTGCCATCATCCAGGCGGTCTTCCTAACCCTCCCCAAGCCTAGCCGGGTAGAGATTCCAGTCCGACGATCATGCTCCACCAGCATGACATGATAAAGCGGAAATTCCCCGACATTATACGGTTCGTCATCCAGGCCGAAGTACTGGGCCTCGGAGATGAGGATGAATTCGTGTGTTTGCTTGTCCATCCACTCGGGCCCAGTACCGTCAAGGAGTACCGTGCCGATCCATTCAAATGCCGAAGCCACAATAGAAAATCGTAGTGGGCGGGATTCAGGAGGGATCGGGGGCCCATGAGGAGTGAGTGTCTCGGTGTCACTGTCCTGAAGGATCTGGTTTCCCAGCTGAAATGACCGAGTGCAAGTGGTGCAGAGGATCAGATATGTCATGTCTCCATCCAGCAAGCGGTTACCCAGTGTGGCTTGCACGTAGGACCTAAGCTGGAGTGGATCACTTGTAAGCGTGCGGCCAGTCCGGCCAGTCGAGCAATCCAAAGAGGCCTCCCATTCAGCCGGAAGACGTGACAGTGGAACACCCCATCCATGACCGTTGACGGGTTCTAAGCGGCTGGACGAGCTGCTGAATGTGTACCATCGTTGCAGTGATCGGGTGCCTTCCTCGCCGGAATATGCTCTGTTGGCGCTCTGCACTTCGCCTGCATCGTCCCTCTGCACCTCCATCGCCTTGTTGTAGCTCACCTGTCCCTTCCACCCGGTCCAAGACCAGCTGGGAAATCCCCTTCGGCGTTGTAGTTGCCGCATAGGCCTCCACAGAAGAGCAACATCGAGCAGGGACTTCGGGAGGCCAGATATAAACTCGGACCTAAAGCTCAATTGGAAGACGTGAAGAAGACCCTCCAGGGCTCGGATGGCATCCGACTCGAATGTGAGGTGCCGCGAAGTATACTCTTCGACCATCCTGGAGTATTGTCCGAACGTCCCTGAGCGGACCACCCGTGTTCTCCCATGTCGGTCAGTCATGAGACTCCCATCCACCCAAAGTGCATCCACATCTTCTCCAAAGTATTGCGGCTTGAGCGACAGCCAGTCCAGACTCTCAGGTCCGTACCCGGAGTCTTCACACTGCATGTCCTCCCTGCAGACCATTTTTCGGCAGTGCCATACAACCTCTTCCCCGCAGAAGGCAAGGATCCGCTTCGACAGGATTCGCTCCTGAAAGGTCCACGCTCGGGTGTTCCAAGTGGTGTGGGTCAGGGATGCTTCGCTTGGGAACGGAGCAATGATGTGCGCATCATCTTTGATTTTTGCGACTGGCTGATCGATATTGCGAGGTCGACCGGGTTCGCAAAATGAGAAGTGATACCTTTTGATCCCTCGGAGGCCGTGGTCGGCATCACTGCCTTGCGCTGCAACAATCGTGAAGAATGCGCTGCCGTACACTCGGTCCATCGTCGCGATCTGCTCTCGTGCTTCCACGCTGTCTCCTTGGAGAATGCACTATGTCTGGTTAGACCAATTTGCCCCCTCACTGAGTGACACGGCGCTGATCAGAAAGGGAGGGAGTTCATACTAACGAGTCCACCCATAGGTATCTTTCGTCGAGTCCCCGCACGACTTCCATCGCGTCAATGATGGTACGCGGAAGACTGCTCATGTACTGCCTGAGACCTTGTGGCCGTTTCATCGAATCTACATTGTTATATCGAAGCCGCAGTGGGGTCGACCGGCCCCATACGTACGACAGAGCGACGAAGCGGCATTGTTCCGGGCGAGCCACCTCCACCAGGCAAAGATTGTACACGTCGATCACCCTGAGGAATTTCGGTGGCTGAATGGCAATTCCCCAACTGTGTTGACTGCAGAGCTTCCCGTGGGACTGGGTGCAATGGGCGAGCCACTGCCTTACCACTGTCAGGTCAATCCAGTCCCGGTCAAGAACCTTTCCATATGAAAGAGATCTCAGGCAATCTTGCTGCTGAAGCATGGCAGGATGAGCAACCCGCAAGCGGAAATGACTGAGTAGCTGTGGGTCCCCCCCGGGACGGTTTCCATATCCCACCAGGCTCACAAATGCCATTCCAGCGAATTCCGGATGATGGGCGGTCAGAATTGTCATATGAAGGACGCAGCTCATAGGGTACTTCGTGAGTGCCTTCATTTCTCTCTTTCCCACATCCACACCGTCCGCATATGATAATCCGGGCCGAGATCTAGTGGAACTGCTCTTCCCTGCCTTGATTTCCACCATAAGAGCAACGAAGTTGCTCAAGCTGATCAGAAGTGTGGGGTGGGACGCCACATCGAGGACTACGTCTCTGGTGGGACCAAGAATATGCGTAGCCCCCTCATGGCGGAGATGATTCCTTCCAAATGGCCAGTTCTTGTCGGTAAACCTCCAGCCTTGTCCCACCCACGTCTTCATGTCCATTCCCTGCATCGCGTCCGGCATGTACGGGGCAACTTCGGGGTGTTTCAGGGGGTCAAGCTCGGGTCGACACAGCATGGAGAGGAGCAGGCGGCACATGCGGCACCAGTCGGCATGGTAGATGACGCGTGCCAACGGGGTTGTCCAATTCGCCTCGGTGTGGTCGAGGTTTCCCTGTGTGTAGCAGGCTTCCAAGGCTAGCGATTCGCATTTGGTGCATACGCCTTCCCAGCCGAGCGTCTTGGATTTAGCGTCGATGAGGTCTTCGCTCGTCAGGTGAAAAGGTTTCGGAAGCGGGACATTTAGGAACTGCCTGTGGACCGTTTCTCCCGCTTTAGTCAGACTATCACCGGCGCGGTTGAATCCCCGTGATAATGGCCCGGTAGGTTGGAAGAGTTCAGTAGCCTTGTCCTTTCCCCCGTCGACAAGTTTCCCAATGGTGGTTCTGATATTGCCGGGTGAAATGGACCGGCTTCTGGGCACGGGAGAGCTCGAGCCACGGTTGTCGTGGGGCAGATGGAGGTATTCCGGTGGAGTAGTGAGGGTACTGCTGGTGCTGGATGGTGTTCTCTCACTGGATCGAGAGCGTATTGGCGGGGCTCCAGGGCCGGTAGACGAACCACTTGGGCCCTGACTGCGGGTCAACCCCGGGTTTGCGGAGGAGCTGCGAAGATGGTTTGGTTTGCAAGGGATTGGTGGCCGACGTGAAGAGCTCATCTTGTTCCAGCTGTGCCTTGACACACTTGACAATCAGGATTCCATCCCCCTATAGAAGGCAGGAGGCAGTCAGCCTTGCCCAGCCAGACCCTAAGCATTGCTCGTGTTGGGTTTACAACCAGGCTGATGCGAATGCAATGCACCCCGCCCCGCCCCACCACCTTTACTTACAGTACGAGGGTCCCTCGTACCTGAATCGCTTCCCTCTGCAGTGGGGAGATCCATGTTCCTGACCGGATGGAAAATCAAGACCAGAGTTGTTTATGGAATAGGTTTGTCCCGAGATGTGTAGCGGTGCATCTGGCAGCAGAACTGGCTGCTACCATTGATTGCTCGTGGATGAGGTGTTGTGCAAAGTATGAGTCAGCTTGTTATGCTATGCTGGCAGTGAATGGAGCGGTGGTCCGTGTCTGCTGGGTATATAAGCCGCCCGTCCCGCGATCCTGTTTTGGAAATCAAGCGACTCTACGTGGGTTTCCCCCCCTACATTCAGCGTCCCTTCAAACAGCGACATCTGGCTAACCATTCTCTCTCCCACAGTTCCAAGAATCATTTTAGAGTAGATGTCCCACTTTGAGCTCTTCTAAAGAGCCATAGAATCCCCACCCTTGCTGATGACTGCTATGTCCTCGATGCCCTCAAGTAAAGCCATTTTACTTCCGACTCGACCTTGCCTGCGCCGGTGCTTTGGTGGTCATCTGCTCGCAGACTTATTCCGGGTATTTGGCCAGGTGTCCCGTTCCAGGGAGTGGTGATGATCTTTACCTTGTCGTGACGTCTTGACTTTGGTCGGTCTGACTTGGTGGGTGTCAAGGAGGTCTGAAAGGTGCCCTTTTTGTCTGTTTATGGTTTTTGCACAATACCATAACACCTCAATACAATAATCTCTCCGATGAATATGATCACTCTTCCGATCAAGTGGCTGCCTTTTTGTTGTGGTCCGTTCGTAGTATAAATTCATGGGTGCGGTTTTGGAAGCACGAGGCGCAAGTGTCGCTGTTGACCCATTTGCAGGAGTCGATAGGAAGCATCTTACTATGTTCTATTCGCGCTTGGATGTTGGCACGGTCGACGTGGAGGAGGCTGAGGACAAAGATTTTTGGTGTTGACGGGACTAGCCTTATCGCTTATCGCCGCCTGGCGTTCCCGGAGTGATGACACCACAACACAACAATCATGGGTATAGGGAGTGCCCTTGTGCTCCTGGGGCTATGACCTTCTGCTACTCGAAGATCTGCTAGCTCGGACTGAATCGACATCTCAACAATCGCAGCATTGGATGGCAGAGGCGACTTTCTTTCGAAACTGGAAAAGTTCAGCACCCAAGAAGGGAGCGAGGGCTGGCGCAGGAATGGAAAGTTGTGGAACACGGTAATCTCGTAGAAGACCTGATTCACAGCCTTGCAAGTCTGATGGGGGGTTTCAGAGAGAGACCGTGTAGGGTCTGGCTCTTGAAGGCTGGGCGCGGCAACATCTCCCAGTCTCCATCTCATGGGACGGCTAGAAGGCACGGTCCGGCGACGTCGAACGCCGAGACGAGCTTACGCTCAAGGCACTCGATATCATTATGCGAAAGAAACCGATGATAAAGTTTCCTTTGTCTTTGTTTGAGTCCTAGGGATCCTGGTATTAGCTTTGTACTATGTTTGAGGCCAAGGCGGGGGAAACTGCAGTCCAGGGCAAGTCGCCTTAGTCAATGTCCCTCTTATCTAGCTACCGAGAGCATTGTCACCAGCAAGTGAGCATTTGTCGAAGCAAGGTGGGTAAAAGAATTCCTCTGCATGCATGTGCGGTCGACTGTTTGCTTTACCTTCGTCCTCTTTCCGGTAGCCAAGCGATTGTCCACGGGGCCTAACTATGATGCGTAGCTCGGGCCCCTGGTGGCTTAGCGGTTTATTAATTTAGTCGCCTCATGCGCCTTGTTCTTCATTGGAAGGATGCAAAATCAGATGGCTACCGACTAGGCTAATCTTCTGGGATAAGCCATTCAGTGATGCACGCATGCTCAGACCCTCGCCCGTCCCGACTTAACCACCGACATAACATCGACCCTTAACACCAAGACTGCAATTACACTTTCTTTTGTGTATTTCCAGCTCCCCCCCACGTAGGTCCCATAAACCCCGTCTTCTTCGCAGCCGACGACACCAGGCCCTTTCCAACACTCTGCACGACCTTGGAGGCTTTTGCTCCGACGTGACTTTTGGCCCCCTGCGCACAAATGGAACAGGGCTTGTTGGGGGCTGCTGTTCCGTTGAACTGACTGGGAGGGAAAGGTGTTAGAATCATTATTTTCCCGTGGGTGGCTGAAAGTGACGAGGCATGAAAGAGAAAGGGGGATAGGCAGGCGACTTACTGCAAGCACATGTTGTTTCAATTCGTGAGGAGCTGAGGAGGGCTAGGCTTCGAATGCTATGGGTGGCTTGGGATGGATCACTCTGAGTAGGATGATCGAATTCGGACTATGCTAATAAGTAGGAGTGGGGGCAGGGTTCGGCTGCATTTTATGTCTTCGAGGTCACCTGGTGGGGCGCGATAGTCGCATGGTGTCAATTCTTTCTAGGGCGTAACGGGGAACATCTCGATGACTAGAGGGCGGCTGCGAGCCAAGAGTCGCGTTCAAGCGGTGGCACCAGGGGAATATGAAGCCTCGTGAGCTTCGCCATGTCGAGGCTCCGCATAGGTCTAAGAGAGCGAAATGGACCATGGTATCTGCATGTTTGCCGTGGCCAACGAGAATATAGAGACAACCAGGGCTTTGCTCATCCCAGGACGCCAATCTGACGGCGTAAATCAGATGAGGAATTGGCTAGAATTGCTATAACGATGAGGCTGACTCCCCCTCTGTTCATGGTCGGTGTTGGGGTATGTAAGCCACCGCATTGATACCTTTCCGTGAGGGTTTACTGGCTTGCTGAACCTGCCAAGGGACGATTTGGCTGAACACTTGATGCGTGTTCCTGTATCCTGGACCTATTGAGGCTAGGACAGTAATTCCACCGAGTGATCAGTGCAACAGACCAAGGCACCTATGTATCGCCTCACAAATCACAGGGCAAGAATTGGCACAGGAGTCCTTTGTCTATTGACGAACGGACTTGGCGCCATCTGTCAGAATCACTGGTGATATTTGTGCAGGGATGCAGTCAGCTGCTGCATTTTTCTGGGCTCCTCTTTGGGCAACAAGACAGACTATCGGGTCTTGGTAGATAGCCTCATGTGACGCCCCCATTCGAAATAGTTCAATCTAAAACTATTCAGTGTGTGCAATTCTCTGTTCGGTATTGTTAGAACTCGAGGCAACGAGGCACGGTTTGACCTCGGTGAGTAATGCTAACCTGATCAGGTCCAGCAGTTGACAAGGTTGCATCATGGTGAAGAGATATAATACCATCTTCAAGAGCAGAGGAGAGGTGAGCTGCTCCCTGTGCAATGGGATGCGGAGACACGGACCACCCGATAACAAGAGCAAAGACAGGAGACACTTCGTTCCCCGATTCACCTGGGAGGAACTACTGGCCTCGTCTAACTCATGTTACTGCTGCGACATTCTCCTACGCGGCTGTCGGGGATGCTTGGATCAACACGGGCCGAAAGAGGCAGAGATCGATAACGCAAGTCTCAGGTTCCGCTATCTCGCTCGCCTAGAAACTATCGAGGAGCAGGAGACGGGGAAGATAATTGTCATTCGATTTCAAAACGGCAAGAAGTTCCTCATCGAGGTATTCGCTGTCGATGAACCCGGCGGCCGCACGCCTAAATCCTGGGGGGATTTTTCGCGCCCCGGAATAGAACATTGTCACGAACGGATTCGGGCGGCGCACTTGTCGCTATTTCAAATTGGCTTAATGAATGTCTAAATGACCATGCAGACTTGGATTATGCGGACTCGCTCTGCAATCTGGGGGAACGGCTGCCGCCTCTTCCTACGAGAGTTATGGATGTTGGCCTGGAGGACGATGTGGTAAAGGTCTTCGAGACCGCAGGAGCTGAGGGAATCTATGTATGCCTCAGTCACTGCTGGGGTGATACGCAGATCCTCGCAACCACTAGAGCGACATTGGCTGAGCGCAAGAGGTCAATCCCGTGGGACAGCTTGTGCCAGACCTTTAAAGATGACATTATTGGAGCGCGGACGCTGGGTATCAAGTAGGTTTGGATTGACTCGCTTTGCATTATCCAAGATAAAGATATGGACTGGGCGATGGAGTTATCTACCGCAACGGATTCTTTACGATTGCTGCCACATACTCCCCGAATGGTGACGGGGGCCTGTTCCGTGCGACTCCGGATTTTCGTGTCTCTGGAAGGTCGCGCGAGGGTGAACGATATACTCTGCATTTCCGCGAGATGATCGAGCACCACATAGAGTCGTTGAACGAGTGCGACGACGAGTCTGGGAACCCAACGACGGTCTTCTTTCCGCTCCTGACACGAGCCTGGGTCTATCAAGAACGAATGCTTTCAACGCGCGTCATCCACTTTGGCCGATATGAGCTCTTCTTCGAATGTCACTCTGGCATTCGGTGTGAGTGTGAGCAGATCGAGTCTTTGGGTGCAGCAGGCTCCTGGCGAGGCTTGTTCAAGATCGAGCTTGCTACCGCGCTGCTTTATTACGACCTTGCACACAAGGGGGAATACCGCCCGGGGCTCCAGTACCACGGAGCAGCTTTGTGGCGAACCGTGGTGTCAGCCTATACGGCACTGCGCTTGACAAAGCCCAGCGACCGTTTGCCTGCAATTGGCGACATGGCAAGAGAAATGGCTGGTAGGCGGAGGTCAAGATATCTTGCTGGACTGTGAGAGGAATCCCTCAACGACGATCAACAGCCCGGAACACCAAGTAGAACACTTATTTCGCTGGTGCTGAAGCGATCACCTGAGATTCCGGACTGCTACGAACGAATTGGCATCTTGGTTATCAGCGCTAAACCACCATCCGTGGATCCCGTGGGAAGGATTCACGGCAGCGCATCTCTCCGGACTGTTACCATCATCTGACTGATTTATTAAAGCCATTGGCATGAATTCGAAGATGTACAGTACAGTGCAATGCTTATGTGACAAGGCCATGCGCCTGACCCGTGTGATTATGCCAAGGTATGTATGCCCCCCCTCCACGCAAGAACCGGCCAAGCTGAGCGAGCACTGCCCCCTTGGCTGCCGTTAAATGCCTGACTGGCGCCCCACGGCGTCTAGCTGTCAGGATACTACATTTTATTCCTGCGCCAGGTTTGAATGAAACCTTAGCTAACAGAAGTAGTCAAAGCCCCTAATAATGCAGCGCTTTTTCACTGGGCTCGACGATGAATTCAGAGATACAGACCTGGCTGGGAAGGAAGCCTCGGGCCAGTTTAACCAGTTCAGTTCTACAGCACTCCAGGAAATTTTCTCTCCTATTTTTTACACGCCCCCCAGGAAAGACTCGTGACCAGATGTTATTCGAACAAATTCTGTAAGTACTGAGCTTGTGTTGGGTGACATAATACCCTTGCTTACAGCAGGAACTTTAGGAACGGCACTATATCGGACAGAGATTGTTCGAAGTTCTGGAAGTCTGTTTTCAGTCGATCCTATAGCCGTGATACGGCCAAGGCAAAATCATCGCACGACGGAAGCGAGTCGGAGGATTATTTTCTGGAACTGCCGTGGAATGATGTCGATATTCTTGCCAACATACCGGATCTGTTTACAGTTGAAGTTACTGGCACGAATGATGAAAATTGTGATATCCAATGTGAGTGCCAAACGTGCCGCAAATGGGTAAGAGCAATGTATCGGGCGTATCGCAAGCCCAGGTTCTGTGTCAGAAGAATCGAAAACCCCGCAGATATGCACTTTTACAGGCGACGAGACATCCCATGGCCCTCCTGTCTATCGGAAGCGAAGAACGGCTAGACGAGAAGGACAACGACGACAGTGACAACGATGATTATGAGGAGGATGGAGATGAAGAGGAAGATGAGGATGTTGATGAGGATGAAGATGACAACGAGGTCGAAAAAGAGCGGGGCGAGCTAGGAGACTGGGAGGACGAGTATAACAAATGGGACTCATCTACTGACGTGCATGACCAGCCGCAAGCCACAGAAGATGAAGGCAAGATGTCCTCGACATTTGCGAGTATAGCCAAGCTATAGTCTTGTGCCTCGGTCGTGATGAGGAATTCGGCCCCAAGCGACTAACCGGGACTCTTGGCCCTCCCGGCTGGTGGATGTGGGATCCGATGACTGCGATCTTACTAAGTTGTTAGGTAGTGATGGGCTATCTCCGGAATTAATCTCAGATGGGTATCTTGCACTGAGCTATTGCTGAGGAGTCTGTAACATAGGATCCGCCATAGTCATTGATAACGTCCGCGAGCGATATGACAGTGGCTCCCCAGTTGAGGACCAGCCACCTACAATACAGGACGCCATTTACACAGCACGGGCACTTGGGTTTTGGTTACTATGGATCGACAGTCTTTGCATAATTCAGGATAACATGGTTGACAAGCACGAGGAGCTTGCCAAAATGGACCAGATTTATCAAAAACGCTAGGCTACTAATCTCTGCCGCCCAAGCTAGTACTGCGTCCGACGGCTTTTTTGTATGAGGTAGACGCTGGCAAATTTGCGCGATACGAGCTGAAATACTGCCTCCCATTCAAATATCGTCGGGACGGAGTGCAAGGATGCGTGATGTTAGAGATGTTTCGTACACGGACCTCCCGAGCTCTGGGGTTTATGGAGCCGATACATAGCCGTGCCTGGACCATGCAAGAGCACCTTGTTTCCAACAGAATCTTGTCTCTCGGCACCACAGGAGTCAGATGGCAATGTCTCGATGACATGGAGTACGGGTCGACGAAGTGGAGCCATTGTACAAATCTGGCCGAGGTTTTATCCGTTAGATCTCATATGAATTGCCGACAAGGTTCCCCAGTTGACCTACAGACTGAACATGCTGGCTCAATGACACTCAACAGACGGCCTGCCTGGAGATACCATCCCCGGAGGTATAGCGCAGCTGCGGAATGGAACCAATTGCGAGGAGACTATATATGTCGTCAATTGACGAAGGCAGAGGACGGTCTGTTGGCGTTTTCGGCAATTCCACGTTGCACCGTGCAGTGGCTCAAAGCACGCCTGAAGTAGGAATCTGGCAAATCAAAATGAACCAACAGTCCCTGACCGCGTGCGTCCGTCCACACACCTCACCTGCGGGGCTCAGAATTGCGCAAATATACCAGGTTATCTTACTAAGATTGTAGATTGTAATCACAGTCCGGTACACTGTCCGCTCCTACTGTTACGATGCCCCGTTATCCCACATTCTCGGGAATAATATCACCAGCGGAGATTTGGCTGTGACGCGCCGGCCACCAAGGGTACCTCGAAAGTCCCAGGCACAAAAACCCTGGGAGCAACGCCTGCAAGAAACAGAAGAGGAAACCCAGGTGTCTCGGTCCTGTCGAACACACGCGATGCGAAATGCTCGATCTGCAGGCGGCCGAGCCAGCGGAATGTGAAAGCCGCCACGCCTAAAAGGTGAGCGTGCAGTCAGTCTATCCTTTTCCAATCCGTTTTTGGGACTGAAGATATTCTTACATGTAGTGCATCCCGGTCAGAGGTCTCGCAATCAGCCTCATCCCTGAACTCTGCCTGTTCTCGGGGGACCCATCAAGCGGGTGACCTTTCGCTTCTTGTGTTTGGTAGTGCCCGAATCACGCCAGCCCGAATCAGACCCACGGTGCGTAGAGACAGGGCATATAGGGTGCAATTGTCGGTTTGTGGGGGCAGCGCACAGTATTCCGGCTTGTGTGAGGTTCTTTCTAAGTACGCTACGCGAGGCCTCCTGGGATTGATTTGTACTATTGGCCGAGGAATCAATGGTAACTATGATGGACAGAGGTGTATTTGCTTTGTAAAGATAGCTGTCGTAGAAAAGAGCAATGGGGTCGTTAGCTCTGCCTGGGTCAGGGTTTAGGACGATTAAGCTAGGTCATCTGCAACATAAGCTCTAGTAACATGGAAGTAAGACAAGTCCTTCTGGGCTCCTTACGAAGACTTGGAACACAGCTTTCTGAGTCATGTCGAATTCAGCAGAAGCCAGCTACAATACAAGGCTTGTGGAAGGCTCCTTGTCCCTTTCGCTGTCGTAACTGATGCATCGAATGATAATGATGGAAAGAGGGAATTCCATCTCCTGCAACAACATTAGAGGAGCTTGTGAGGAGTTCAATCTTGAGCATCGCCTTAGTTCGTACACGGTATGTACAGTATCCTAGAATGGTCGTCCAGCACCTTGGATTTGCTCGAATGAAGTTCTTTGATCACAGCTGCCCCACCCCTATGTGACGAGCAAGGTACATGTTCTTGAGATTCGGCTCAGCAAACATCACATTAAGCACCGTCTGACCATAAAAGAAATATAGCCTCGTGGCGACCAGTCGCACAGACCCAGACTGGTAGGCTGTTCTATGAATACATATCGCTTTGAGGTGGGTGGGCTTGCAGTCGTCTGGTAGACAGTCGTCGCGTAGGGTCTAATCAAGATCAAAGTCCGTCACAAGCCCCAAAGAAAACAAAATATATTCTTTGGGTCAATTGTCATTTTGCGACGATAGGTAATGATACGTAGGTACACAAGTTGCACCAGATATTCATTCATTATAGTCCAAGTACTCTGACTTGGTTCTTATCACAAAAGATACATATCGAAGGAAGGTATATCGTGATTCTAATAATAACAATAGCTGCACAAAGTCAGCACCTGGCTTAATCAAGAAGAGGGTCTTGGGTGGAAGACTCACAACTTCTAGGAGACGGATCCCGGCACCTCTACACTGTACTAACAAAATTATCGGGGTCAACCGGAGTGTGGGCTTTCCAGCTGCTCGTATTGGCCTTAGAAAAGGGGCAAATTGGGAATTGATAGACGCTGTCGGTGAGTTACTGGCGGGAGTCTCCAACCGATCGACTATTTGACTGCTACTCCATATGCGAGGTCGGTTTAGTCTTTTCCCACCCTCTCACTGCGTGCGATGCTGGCAGCCCTAGCGGGAGATGCCGTCAAGGTCGATCTCCCTACGAAATATTCTTTCGAACCCGGTGGGTGCCCTCTCAAGGGAGACCATTGTATGCAGGCTGAAACAATGGCCCGGGCGGGTGGCAGGCCAATCGCTCGACTCGAATGTCATCGATGCCTGGCCGGAAGAGTCTAACCGTGATGGGTGGACTTTTGTCAAGCAAGCAGGTGGATCTTTGTGTCTTGTGAAGACCAATAAGCAAGGCTTCGGGCATCACAACCGCGCTAGGCAACACTTAAGCCGTGCCACCAAAATTGACAGCAGCGCGCTTGACATTGAAGTGGAGAACCCAGATTTAGTTACTGTGCCTGGCCATGCACCCAGAATAGCCAAAAGAAAACAAATAGAACCCAACGCATGATCAGTGTTGCGTGTCCAGTGCTAGAACTAATGATACAGAATTCTCTTCCTCTTCTAATAGGTGAGGTGCATGAACAGTATATATCTTCTCAGGCGGGGGCTATCCTAACTCCTACCGGATTTAGATGCCCTAAGTACACCCACGCTCACAAAGGCCCTAGTCGATATTGACCGAGACAACAACCCCATCGCGCCCTTTGTCCCTGAGATTCCTGTAGCATAGTACTGCGCCTGACGACAATATCTTGATTGGTGGTTATGGTTTGCTAAGACGACCTACGCAGATGGGGCCACGCGAAGAGGTCGGTGATTACTGCTCCATGACTGGTGGCAGCGCTCTTCGACAAACCCCCTTCAGTGCCGCCGGAGACATTTGCAAACTCTTGGCAAACAATGACTACCTACTAGGTACCTGATAAGTCACTGAATGCGGTATTTAGCAGAGGTAGCACCAAGAGGTACATATCGAGATTCAATGGTACCTGATTTGTTCATTGCCCTAATCAATGCTAGCGTGAAAAATGTCTCAGAACATCGACGGGCATTGACATACATGATTCGGGGCGGTCCGCTCTGCTACGGCGCCCCGACCAATCGGCGGCCTGTACCTCATTGAACGTGGCGTCCGCGACAAATTCTTAGGAAAGGCTTTGTACGAAGCTTGTAAACATTCAATTTCCGGTCTTGCCGAGTGGGAAGAGGAGAAATCTGATTTGGTCGCATGTTCTGACTCAAGAACCTGCACAGTTACTGGTGAGATCTAATGTTTGACCTGTCGCACGTGAATGTGGCATAGCAGTAGACCCTGCTTCCGAGCATCAAAGGATCACGTGACAAAAACATACGAGTATGTCACCCCGCTCAGAAAATGAATGAGCATGCCAAGCTATCAAACCGAGGAAATGCCCCTGCAATACTTGATCTTGACGTTAGCGAATATCTTCTAACAGTCAATCAAGCAATGCCTATAACTCGAATGAGCACGTATTGAGGGCTGTACTGTGCAGGTACCGCCTGCAAATGACCCACTTGGTCGGCCTATTTAGAGCGGACAGGGTTCGGCCTAAGCCTACTTAGGGCTGCATTTGAGTGCTAGAGTCCCCGCCTTATGAGCCTTGCCACCTGGCAAGGGGTGATCGCAGGGTCTGCGACGGTTATCTCCACATCTCCTGGATGAGTGTTTTCCTCCCAGATCCGGATCCTTTCGGCTATGTCCATATATTCTTCTCGCCTATGCGAAGGGAGGCCAAGCCCCCACAATTGACAAGACTTTGAACCAGGTGAGGTTAGACAAATCAATAGTCTCTTTCTCCGACCCAAAAGGACCACAGGAACAATTGGCTCAGGTGCATGGGGTTTGAACGGGAGATATCCCTTTCTGGGACTCTACATGACTTAGGTAGTCTAATCCGTAGCGTCTATGTGTTGATATAGTTATTAGAAGGATCTGTCTTGGGCTCCGACAGCGCGCCAAGAAAAGACAACTTTCAAAGGGCCTCCGGAGCACGATTTGAAAAGATTTTCAGATACTCTCCACTTCATCCCTAATTGATCCGGCTTCCCAATCTCTATCCTCGCTCAGTGAACTTCTCAACAAGATGACTCCTATTCGCTCATTCATGCTCATGGCTGCTCTGGCATTCTCGAATGTGGAAGCTTTGGCTCGCTGTCAGAACTCGGTGTACAACGAGACAGTCGCCTACTTCAACAGCGCGCCCGTCACCGTCAGCTTCGAGATCGCCACCGCCACTGAATGCCAGAGCTGGTGCCGAAATGTCAAGGCATGCCAAGCCTGGCTTTATGTCGACCAACCAGGCCAGTGTGACTTGCACCGCACCAAAGCATTGAGCCTTTCGGACAACACTGGCTTCACATTTGGCGGATGCGAGCGGAACCCCGAGTCTCGGTTACCTCCATCTCCCACTGCATCTCCCACTGCATCCTCCTCCGCTGCTGCGAGCGAAACTCCGACTCCTTCAGAGGGTGCTACATTGGTACGCTTTTCCCCCTATTGAATTGTCTCCACTTGAATCATGGCTAATGGTTAACCTTGCCCTCTCTACCCCGTGCGAGGCGTGGCAAGTTTCGCCATAAACACGAACATCACCATTGAGATATTTCGATAGAAAATGTTGGATTGGGGGAATTTCGGAAGCGGAGATTGCATCAAGACCTGTGCTTATTGTTCTTTATGGTAGCATACAAATTCAGAAAGTTTTACTTTTCATATTCCATATATTTCATATTCCGTATTTTCAAATTAATGTACTGGATACAACAACAAAACACACGAATGTTGGGAGGTAGATACAATTCATGCTGTGCTTGAACAATCACAATCGGTATCTGGCACTAAGCACCCGCTGTGCTAGGCAACGTCAAAGTCTTTTCAGAGTCATTTAATCAAGGGTAGTCGGTTTCATTAGCGTGATGAGAGATTCTTTCTGAAATCCATGGGGGGGAAGCGAGGCCATCCGTTGAATGCCAAGCACTCGCGAAATCATTTAAGGTTATGGTGGCTGCAAATCCCGACCCACAAGATCAAGAATCTCGGATCTATCTTCCGACCTCCTGCGCGGCAGCTAGCAGTGCAGTACTCTGGGTCTCTCTTGCGATCTTGTTAGGTTCTCATATACATCAGCAAAGCACAAGTTGACACATACGACCACAGGGTGTGGAAAATAGGGCTTCCCGTCCGCTCAGCCGTACTCAAGCCACACGCCGGGAGGTTAGTAGTTGGGTGGGTGACCACCAGCGAATCCCTTCTGTTGTATGTCAGTATTCATTCTTTTTTCCTCTCACAAAGAGGGCAAGGCGTTCTCGCCGCCTTATCTTTATCCTTATTTACCTCTCTTTAGTTTGTTCAGGGCGCGATTTTTCTAAACTGTACTTATTTCTCCCGCAGCCGACGTGGCCTCGTAGCACAGCCCCTTCGCCGATAATTAGCTCTTATTCAGAGGTTGTGATTGATCTCACTTTTTCCGTGCCAGTCCCAGGAACTTTTGGACTCCCGCAACATACAATAGCGACAACTAGTTGAATTCCAGCCTAGTCTTCGGCGAGTGCCTGGCTATCTAATCTTTCCATCTACTTAAGCTATTTATGTACGTCAAGGCTCCGGCATTTCGTAGGGGGCGCGAAAGTAAGTACTGCGGGAGCAGGTACAACGGCGTGGTATTATTACCTGCACTACCACAGTAGACAAGCAGTAATAGTCTACCTTGGCCTACCTGACATTTCATTCATTTCATGATGGTTTCTACCGAACGAGAAGAATGATGTATAATAAACTTCAGGTACAGAAGAATACAAGGCGGGACCAGCGGGAGCGCAGCCGCTCGCATCGAAACACTGAACTACCCATAAGGGCACTTGTTCCCCATCTGCCATTCATTCCACTCGCCTTTAAACTGATTTGGTGTCAACCTCTCTCGACTCCCTCTATCGTAATGGCTTACTCTTTCGGGCTCGATCGCGATGAACAGAGTACCTCACAAGCACCATTCCCTGAATGATCATGGTGTATCGTGGCAAGCCAAGCTTGGCGTGTCAAAAAGCATTCCTTTTCTCCTGCGCATATATCTTCCTTACATGACCCAGACAACCGATAAAACGCCAAACATTGTCTAAAACATAGACACCCGAGCAGTCCAACCGAATATACAGGCTCCACCCCTGGACTTCATGGGGCCAAATGACTAAATGAAACGGACTCCCCGATCGAGTCACAGTCTCCGGTTTTCTCAATCTACAGCAACTCGGATTCAACCTTAGTATCATTGTTGTTGTTGTTGTTGTTGTTGTTGTTGTTGTTGTTGTTGTTGTTGTTGTTGTTGTTGTTGTTTTCGCAGCTGCTACAGCTTCAGTAGCTGTTGTTACTGGCCGCCATCTTTCCTTACCTTATAAAGAAGAGGATACAACCTCCCCGGCAGCACTCCACCACCCACCATCTATAGTAGCACACTAGACCAAGGTGTTATCAATCTAAGCACTATATACAAACACACAACCAGAACTCCTCGACGGTCACCATCACAATCTGGACGGTGATATCCCCACCAATCAGGGTGAATTGCGGGTTCTGGCCAAAGTCACTGATCAGACTGCAGAGCAAGCGAACCGCGATAAGAGGGAGGGCGAGGAAGAGTCTGAGGAAGATGCGCTTCTGGCTCGGTTGCATTCATGCCAGATCGCGGACGCTGATGAGCCACAGCAGACAGGTGACGAGATAGATCAGCAGGAATACAACACAGGCGGCGCGCATTTCAGCCTTGCCGCTAGACTGGCCCAAAGGATCAGAGGAGGATTCATCCGAGCCGCCGCTGATGGCGAGGATCAGGGCGATCGGGGCGGGGATGTGCAGGAGCTGGACGGCTCTGCTACGGTAGGAGGTTGCGGTCGCCTTTTTGTTGTAGATTGAGATTCTTAGAGATCATGTTTGGTGATTTCTTTTGGTTGGGAGATGGGGTTAGTATGTTTTCATGTCACGTACAATCGGCCAAAAATGCCGAAGATGCCGGAACACAGGCCGACGATCTGCAGAATCACATCGTGCGGAGCGAGTTGGTCGGATGGGCGTCGGGTGGTGGTCTCGTCGAAGATGCGTTTCAACAACCCCGGGGTGGACAGCAACAACGGAGACAGGCCAATCGACTGTATGATGGTCGCCTGTTCCTTGTCGTTGACATTGTCACCTGCTCGGCGGAGACTGTCATGGCTTCTGGAACTCTTAAGAGCGGATGAGCTTGCTTACTCTCTCTTTCGTTCCTCTCTTGGTCTGTGTTGTTGCACTCTGTTGCACCCTGATGGCGACATTGATTTATATAACCCTAATACTCTCGGTGTCACGATTTATCTCCCTCCCAGACAATTCCATACGGTCAAGTCCGAAGGAGGATCCCTCCCAGCCTCAAAGGACTGCCATTTTCGTACGTCGAAAGACATTCATTCCCCCATAGTACGCGCTAAAATTGCGGGTTCGAACCCTGCCTGGCTTACGTGAAAAAGGCGGGTAGAATTGGTTTCTGAGGGGAACCCACTGCGAGGCACTCGCTTATTTGATTGGTCTTTACCTTCAACCAAACTTATGGATGAAAATGATCTGCATGGATTGTTACCGATATGGCAAATAAGCAATCATTTCCTCGTGCGGAACTCGAGAGCGCTAAAAGAATCTCGAAGCTTTCGGGCTCCGTCGGGTCGGTAAGCTAACGAATCAACGAGACACACGGAGATTTAGCGCAGCGATCATCCGGAAAACAATTCCCTCTGCGGTATACATTAGTCAAGTTAACGACTTGCATAATCCTAAGTGACCCACAACCTATATCTGCTTTTTCGCAAACCTCATGGTCGATCATCTACTGAATGAACATGCCCTCGTGTAAGTGGAGATGCAACCAACCCGTCCGCCCATATCTACCTATGGCTAGATCTCGATGGCAGCGATGACCCATTATAGCGGGACCTGGGCGACCGGCATCGATCTTAGCTTAGAAAATCTGAGATAGTAATCGATCGCGATCTTCGTGTATTTACCCGAGCACGAAAGGGGGATTGTTGTTGGGCGGCGCTGCCAGACTATAAAAGACCCGGAGGATCTCAAAGAATGTGAATCCTCGTCACTCAAGCGCAGAACTCGCAGAATAGCCACTATGAAGCTCTCGAACCTTCTTCCTCTGGCGGCAACTGCCGGTGCCTCCTGCATTCGGGGTACTTCTCTTCTCCCCCGCGCTGCCGATGGGCTGGTGGCCATCAACTCCTACAACTATACCAACCTGGGGGGGCCTTTGACCTGGTATGGTTTGAACAACGAGACCAACGCCGCCTGTTCCCAGGGCAAGCACCAATCTCCCATCGACATCGTCACCGCGGAGATTGACTATGTCCCCACTGGTAGCCTCAAGTTTAACATCCCAGCCACTACAGCAGCCAAGTTTGAGAACCTGGGATCCGGTCTGGAGGTCGTGTTGACCAACGGCACTCTCTCGGTGGGAAATTCTACCCAGTACAAGCTGGCTCAGTTCCACTTCCACACCCCGAGTGAGCACCGCATCAATGAGGAGTACTTCCCCTTGGAGAGCCACTTCGTCTTCGAGGACTCCGGTATGAATTCCCCTGTCCAAGGGCCGTTAATCATCCAAACTTACACTGTACAGAGAGCAACATCGCCGTTGTCGGGTTCGTCTTCCAGCTCTCCGAGACAGGTGTTTCCTTCCCCCTCTTCGACGCCGTCTTCGCCCACATCGATGACATCGCCGCCCCGGGCACCTTTACAGAAACCGGCCCTCTGGACTTCGCCGGGCTGACTGCACACCTCGACAGCCACGGGATCTACCAATATGACGGCTCCCTCACCACCCCCCCTTGCAGCGAGGGAGTTGCTTGGTACCTCAGTACTGAGCCCCTTCCCCTCAACGTTCAGAGCTACAACAAAGTCAAGCAGATCCTGAAGTTCAATGCCCGTTACACGCAAAATGCTCTGGGGGCGGATAACCTGCTGGAGGTGGCTGCACATGAACTTTATTAGTTGTTCCATGAGCAGGGAGCCTGTCGTAGCAGACGTATGTGCTGCTTTTTATCCTATTTATTCTTTGGGGTGGGTTTCTGGAGTAGAAGATCACACAATTATTTATCTACCTATAACATTGTATTAATATGTGTATATACGCTACCAGGCAATATACGCTACCAGGCAATAGACATCTAACACCTTGGGATGATATATTCCGAATTTCTTTGTCTGAGTATTATGGTTATTTTATGAAGTATATATCTTGAGTTTAAGGATGAATAGATTGCCCGAGAGCAGATCGCTGCTCTGCGTTTGGATAAGGTAGGTGCCGACTGGGTACGTCAAGTTCTTCCTTGATAGGATGCTTCTCGTTTGGATGGCTGTTGAAAAACTCCTTATTCGCTTCAACAGGTCTTCCGCCCCGTCGCGGCGGGTAATGGAAAAGAAATCAGGCAGTCTGTTTCCTGGCTGACGAAGAGACTCGAGGATAATACGAAGCATGCCGGGAAGGAGAAGATCTGACCACTGTGCGGATCTGTGTGTTGGTCAATTTTATACCCTAGTGTATACAAGGAGCTACTGATCGAGGAATGCGGGGACGACTGGGCAGCCAGCTAACGGGGAGATCAGCTCTTGGTTTTACTCGCAATGGACTTCCGGGGAGGTATTCGAGCCGAGCCACCCTTCCGCGCTGGACTCCACCGCCCTCCTTAAGCCGTTCGTGGGTGAAACCCTAAGCATGGGCGTGCTAGGCATGTGGTCTCTAAATATGGTGCTGGCGGATGACGACAACAATCCTCCAATCCTGGAGGCCGTGTGGACAGCACTGGAGCATTAACAGAAATGAATAGAGGGAGGGGCTTGTTCTTCCTGCGTCATGTACAATTTATATGTATAGATTAAGCTATAAATTCGGAAAGCGTTCAGTCATACTCCCAGAAGACCAAACACCTGAACTCAATGCTCTCCCTGGCCTCTGTATTTTGTGACCCGGGATCCTCAAATGACGAATGCACCGCAACCATCGGCTCCGTGATGTTCGAATCATATATCTTCATCAGAGGCACATCTGCCACCTCCATTTCAGACAAATAGTACCACCGCTGCCTATCACTGTACTTGAGCATTGCAATCTCCCACCCCACCGTGGTCCTCAGCCTGCCGGCTTGGTTCTTGGCTCTAATATTGGCCGAGTAGTCCATGCGGATTGGGAGTAGGTCGCCTTCTTGTAAGGTACTCCCATCACAGACGGCCAGAGGGTCGCGCGTGATAGTCTTCAATGGACGCCAAACATTGATGATCGCCCACCTTGTCCGAGAGAGCCGGGAGGCTTCTTCCTCGGGGAGCTTCTCGTACAGATAACTCTTTGCACCGGAAGGGGTGTGGTCAAGGTGGGCCGCTCGCGCGGGGCCTGGCGTACCCGTGCATTCGCTGTTGACATCTGTAAGGGAGGATCTGATGGTGTGGGAGACGACTTTGACGCAGGTTGGAGGTGGGTGAATGCTGTCGGGTCTGTTTGGTACTCATCCCCAAACAGTATATTGAGGCCATTGTGGGGGGCCTGGTGCTTACCTAGTCTGCAGAAGCCTGGCTATCTCCGGATAGATCTCTGATTTTAGAATTGTGGGATCTGAGATCGGAACGTGCACGCTCGGGTGGGTAGTATAGCAGAAGCCATTCTTTGATAGATCAAACTCGTGCTCGCGGCCACGAGCGTCATGGACCGTTACAGTTCGTTTATCTTTGGCGTTGGTGAAGAAGACTGCCGTTCCTGTCATGGACCGGATAGATAGGTTGGAAGGGATAAAGTTAATGGTTGTTCTGATATCTTTGGGCATCCTTGCTACCTCTATTCTTCTGCTCGTTTCTCTACTCATTTTTCTTTTTGGGGGGGGGGGGGGTCAGCATACTCGTTAATGCACCCGAGAAAGCCAGGGGTATCAACAAGATTACTTTGATGTTGGATAGGTAGTCAATGTTTCCGCCAGCCCCCGATCTCCACAGCATCTCACGCGACTTTTGAATCACACGCAGACAAGGTCAGAATTGAGACTTTATGATTTTTTGTACACGAAATCAGGATTTCTTTTTCTTTTTCTCCCAAGGGCCGACCCACTGCGATCTTCTCAACCCAACATCTGACGTGGCATGCACACCGCAATTCTCAGCTGCGGGTATGGCAAGCCAATGCTGAGTCCCAGCATTGAATCACTTCTGTTTGACAAACTCTCCTACTACCCAGTGACAGGGTCGCAGATAAAGATCTTTATCAAGTATAGGTGTAGTGTCGACGACTGATTACTTAATATTCCTCTGCTGGTGCAGTAGACCAATCGTATTATGGAATAGGAAAATGCTCATGTAAGGATCGACTGAGGGAGAATCTATTCCTTGAAGACGCCAGAATGAATATGACTGCCATTAAGTTCCGAGTGGCAATGAAGATGCTGATCAAAGATGCTGATCAGAGCTTAAATAGTGGCGGCGTGGAGGTATCAGCGTCCGTTTATGCAACACGTCTGAGTCACATCCATGATGTCGCCGAGATCGTCACCTTCCGACCCGCGAAGAGCCTCGTAGAGAGGACTGTATTTGGAGATAAGACATTGATCGATCGATCTTCATCATTTAGTTAGTCACACCTACCAAGAAACATGATCCGATTCGTGAAACCATTCCATGTTAGTGAGATTGGAGAAAAGATTCCATGATGCCGGAAACAACTAACAGCGTGGGTCAGATGTATCGAGCTACAACGTTTCTCAAGTAGAATCCTAATGCAACCTACTGTACATCAGAGTGTTTGACGTGCTCATTAAACTCTATTAAGAGTTTGGTGTACCTAAGCTTGACCGTACTCAATTGGTGAATGCCATGATCTCGACCACCAAGGTGCTGGAAGGGGCAAAGAATCCTTCTCACCAACTCCCCGCAAATCACTAAATTCTTGTAGATAGATCTGTGGAGTATTTTGCATCCCGTCACACCGCTGCAGAGATAATCATTACCTATTTATTGGGGTAGTGGTAGAAGAACTGGAATCGTTGGAAAACAGTCCACATGACCTCATTATAAATGCGGCTGTGGCTAGCATATAATAAGACCTTTCTGTTTATTCTCACCCGAGGAACTCTGCCACTCTCTCCCTTTATATGAAGTCTAATTTGACTAACAAATCGTTACAAGACTGGCGAAATGACCATCAACAATGAAACAGCCCTCTCCAAGCCAACCATTTTTGTGGATTTGGGTGGGATCTTCGTGCATGCTCCAGCCGACTATGCATTGAAAACCGGCGACACGACAGTTCCGCTCGGGCGAGTTCTCTCTTCCTCAATCTGGATGGAGTACGAGGTCGGCAAGCTCACCGAACAAGAATGCTTTACCCAGGTGGCAGATCTCTTTGGCTGTGACGCGAAGGATCTAGAAGCCGTGGTCCTCGAACTCCGGGCCACTCTCACCTACGACCCGCAAATGCTTTCAGTTTTCAAGACCCTGGAGCAAATGTCCGGGGTTAAGGTGGTTCTTATCACGAACATCTCCGAGGGAGAGTATCGTGCCCTGCGGGAACGTTGGGACGAGGCGTTCTGGAGTACATTCGATCACATTTTCCCCTCCTGGGAAGTCGGCGTCCGCAAGCCCAGCCTACGCTTCTACCGCCACGTACTGCGGGCCACACGGTCGTCGCCGCATCAAAGCTTTGTGGTTGACGACCGACCGGAGAACGTGCTCGCAGCCATGTCGCTTGGGATGCGCGGGCAGGTCGGCACGAACGGCATCTCCCGAGTGCTTGGGAACTTTGTAGGGAACCCCGTTGCGCGCGGGCTGGCATTTCTCCGGCAACATGCGGGCAAGCTGTACTCTACCACCGAGGATGGGGACTCGATCGAAGAGAACTATGCCCAGCTGCTTGTCCTGGAGGCGTTGCATGACCGGTATTGTGACCTCTTCTCCCCAAACTTCCTTCCACGTTCGGGGTTACTGACCGTCGCTTCATCACCAGGAGTCTGGTCGACCTGCAGCGCCCCCCCAGACTGTGGAATTTCTTCTCGGGCAAGCCAAAATACACAAGCCATAGATACCCAGATGATCTCGATACGACATCTCTGGCCCTAGTCGCAATGGACTATGAGCCCGAGACCGCTCATTCAATCCTGGATGAGATGCTGGAGCACGTCAATGAAGACGGACTGGTCCCCGTAAGCTTTCACTTCGGGTCTCATTGCACCCCAAGAAAAGCCAAAACTAATCGGATGATCAGATCTACTTTGACAAATCCCGACCCAGAGTCGACGCGATCATCGCCCTCAACACCCTGGTCGCGTTCAACAGATACGGGCGGGGCTACGAGCTCCCCGAAACGCTGCACTGGATCGAGCAAATCCTGCTCAACCGAGCATACATCCACGGCACACGTTACTATCCAAGCCCGGAGTGGTTTCTGTACTACACGAGTCGGCTGTTAACGCATTCGACGGATCCGGTTCTGAAGGAAAGATTGGCAGCGCCGCTTAGATCGCGCCTCGTCGAACGGATCGGGGCCGCCGGGGATGCCTTCTGCCTGGGGATGCGGTTGCTGGCGTGTCATTCCCTGGGGATCCAGAACCACCCAGACACGGAAAAGCTGGCCAGCTTACAGCAGGAAGACGGAGGGTGGGAGCCATCGGCAATGTACATTTTTCCGACGGAGAAGAAGACCGTCGGGAATCGGGGGACGACAACGGCCCTCGCTGTTAAGGCGCTCCAGAGGGCGTAGTAGAATTGGCAGTTGGGCCTTAATAAATGAATGAAGTGTCCACGGTTGAAGTTATGTCGGTTAGTGTCATTGGAGGCCACCAAGTATGTACAGTACATTTGGTGTTACTGCAACACGCCAATCATGCTACAGTGTCTCTTCGTAGATAAGACGATTCGGTATGACTGTTGTGTAACCGGGATGATTGTATTCCCCTTCTTGAAGTATATCTGCCCTTGCTGACCCCGCCCCCCCCCGCCCGGGGCTTACACAACTCTAAAGCAGCCTTATCTGCTCTTTAGCTTATCTGTACGGCCCACCCGCCGAGAGATTAGTAATTGGGTGGGTGACCACCGGCGGATCCCTTTTGTGGTATGCTTTCTATTATTGTTTGTACATTCTTGTCCTATTCAGTTTAACCGTTCTTTTTATCCTGTAATGTAGCTTTACATAGTCAATAGTATGAATAGACTGTTTGCCGTTCGTCCAAAATCTCCTTATAATGAATATGTTGGGTTGGGGGGTTCAGAACAACAGAAGTAGAATAAGATAATCACAGTTCAATAGGATGGTTCAACCGAATGGACCGTCCCATCTTCAACAAATAATACGGCACGGGGACCATGGCCAGCGCTATGAACCCCAGCAGGGAGTTGCCCCAGCCCAGGCCCAGACGGTCGTACAGCGGGGGGCCGGCCAGCGGCAGGAGGGCGCCGAGGAGCGAGCGGGAGACGGTGACGGCGGCCATGGCGGAGGCGGCGTAGCGCGGGAAGGCGTCGATCATGTACATCTGGATGGCGAAGAAGATGCCCAGCATGCCGAAGCCGAAGGGCACGAGGCCGAGCAGCGGCACGAGCCAGAAGACGGCGCGGTCGGCCGTCCACCCATACCAGAAGAGGGCGCCGGGGATCAGGAGGCCGAAGACCACCATGAAGGGCAGGCGCATCTCGGGCTCGTAGACACCGCCGTTGCGCGCGGTCAACGTGACGATCAGCCGGTCGCTTGTGGTGGCGATGCTCAGCAGACCCGCCAGGAATCCCAGGCTGGGGCCCAGATAGGCGAGCCCCGTGAGCTCCGGCGACCAGTGGTAGGTGTCCTGGTAGACGGTGGTGATGGTCGTCAGGAGCAGGTAGAAGAGCCCGTAGACCAGAGCCATGTAGGTGGAGAACAGCGCCACGAGGGGCGAGAGGAAGAGCATCCGCAGGGGGCGCGTTAGATCGCGCTGCATCCGGCGCCAGGCGCTGCTGTTGCTGTGACTCGGCCCATCTTGGCTCTCGTAGGCGGACTGTAGATCCGAACGCCCCAGCGTCTTGGCCAGGCGCGCAGTCTTGCGGGCAATCAGCACGGGGGCGTAGCTCTCTCGGTTGAAGACCTCGATGGCGGCACTGATCACCCCGCCAGCGCAGCAGAGCGTCCAGAACACCCAGCGCCAACCGGCCCGTTCGGCAATGAACCCCCCGCAGATGGGGCCGAGCACCGGGCCGAAGATGACGCCCACCGCCGCGATCGCATTGGCCCCGCCCCGCTCTTCCGGCACGAACAGATCGGCCACCACCCCGCCGTTGAGCGTCATGCACCCTGCCCCGCCGATTCCGGCCAAGAAGCGGAACCCGATCAACGCGCTTATTGTAGGCGCGCGGGCGCAGCACACCTGCCACACCACAAACGACCAGTTCGCCGCCGACATCACCGGACGTCGACCCCAGATCTCGCTGGCCGGGCCTAAGAGCAGTGGTCCGACCACATAGCCTGTTCTTCCACACATAGACACGCACATGTTAGCTCGATCCGGGCAGAATAAGTGTGAATGGGGTGATGACGATGATGATGATGATGCTGGGAGCGGACAAGGAAGCACCTAAGAGATAGATCGAGGTCACAAAGCTGGACAGAATCGCACTCGAATTGTCGAGATCGGCATCGATATACGAGGCGGCTGGGGCCACAATGGTCGTAGCCAAGGGAGAGATGAAGGTAATTGCCGACACCTGGCTGATAAGAATCCACTTGCGGGCTTGAGGAAAGTTCAGGGGCATCGACGGGTCTTCTTGGCTATCCCACCCGACAATGCCTTGGTCCAGGTCGGTCAGCGGCAGTGGCGTTGCTCCAGTTCCCGAGTCCGCTAATGGAGCATCTGACACGGTCGTCACGGTATCCTCATTCTCATGGCGGCTCTCGACAGCCTCGGGGTTGGTGGGCTTAGGAGTGGACAGCAGGTTGATTTGGGTCACCTGATCAGATGCGGTTATGGGTTGGGTCTCGACAATCTGGGGGCAAAAGGTAGATACTCGCCTCGACGTCTGATTCTGCCATGTTGCTTCCTGTCATCTGGCTCAGAAAACAGAAACAAAGTAAGAGAAGGGTGAAGATGGAAACCAGAAAAAAGGAGTGGAAGACGAGAAAGGATTGGATAATATGCCCTCGCACGGGGGGCGGTGCATGTTGCCTCAGCTCTCAAGAGTTGCGCTAGTTGTGCCATCAAGGCTTACGTTGGGCTAAAGAGGGCTAAGAGGGCTAAAGAGGGCTGGGGAGGGCTGGGGAGGGCTGGAGAGAGCCAGTCAATATCCGCTAGATACTGTACAGTCTAGCATCGAATCCCTTCGGAAGTTGAGTTCTTAGCAGAGATAAGCTTTTGCCCATGTTCAGTCGGTGTCTCCGTGATAGGGCATTTGGTCACCCGGATTGCCGTCGGAGAAGCGGTCTGATAGAGAACATCATGCAATTTGCCAATTGGAACTTTGTTATTATTCCTCGATCAGTACCCCTGTGAGCTTCTCGCGAGGGATTGGATGCTAGTCAATACTTAGGGCTAGATGTTAAGCGCCAGACTCGATCGGAAGGACCCTGTAGCCTAAATTAGTCTTAGCACAGCCAGCACACGGGGGATGCCGGGTCAGCTCACATTTCTGACTGTTTTGAGGGCCAGTTTTGCCGAGGCCGGGCCGGTCTAACTAGATAGACCCACCCATTGCTTATGCCGCTTAGGGTTTATTCGCCAAGAGATCCGGTGAGGTTGCCATTCATTGTTGTGAACCCTCTTGTTCTGGACTCTCGTATCGCCCGTGAATTTCTTTTTCTTTGCATTGTCTACGGATATGGACCATCACTGTCGGGGAATTCGATATCTGCAGGCCTTGACCAGTGAATACGGAACGTGAGCTGCCTTGTTCTCCTTAAATTCTTCGACGTGCTAGGACCTTTATGCGACCAATAGTCGGGTTACCTAAGGCTCGATAAGGCCATGGTCAGACGCTCATTATGGGGGGAGTCATAGTGCTGATGATTGAGCTCCTGAGCCTGGGTTGGGCCTTGGATCTTGTCAATCCGGGGAAACGGAGTCCCCTCCTCGGCAAGACAGTGTCCATCGCGGCCGTAGTAGCGCTGAACATTGCCATACAACCCTTGATACCCTCAAGACAAACAGCCAATGTCGGTAATAAAGAACCAGTCTAGAAGAGAGTAATGGGAACAGATCCAACGGATCTCTAGGACAAAGAGGTTTTGGGGAAATGACATTACTATGCTACGGGCAAGACAAAGAAAGATACCATTAAATCTACTAATCTCACTTGTATCTTCCTATCATGCTGATCATTCACCTTTGTTCTATACCCGACATTCCTGGGCTATAAAGCTTATACTATATAAAGCTTTGCGCAAAGCTATTATGTCTGGATCCATAGCCCATGATTTACTGTATTCCCCTAGCACGCCAGAAGTATACATCGGCTGACGCATCCGCAATAACACGACTTCCCGCCGTCCAAGAGAGCACTTCGTGGGGACGTTGTAGTATCCACGCACAAGCCCAACACATGCCTTCCAATTTGACCGAAATATACGTGAGAGTCCACGGAAGGAATATCCTAGTTTCTATTGTCGAGGAAACGAATGATTCCGAGCTTCAGGCGGACGTAGTGGAGCCAGACAGGAAGCCCGAGCCCGCTGTGAGTATGGAGATGCATGTGGTCGCGGACGGGGCAGTGGATCTGAACATAATCAAGACTGTAGAGGCGGATATCAGCGTTGACAGGTCTGTGGATGATTGGTTGTTTATCTATATCAGTATACTTGATCGGTGTGACCGCCGTAGGAGTAGACAAGAATGATGCCCGGCTTACTCTCATTTGGTTTCTGTTTTTCTTTTCTTTTTTCTTTTCAGGTTTAGACGTTCTGGGTGTTCTCAGAATTCAGACTAACCTATCTCCCCAAACGGCTTTTGCTCTGTGGAGTGTGTTCTTAGTTGCTTCTGTGGTTTAGTTGCTGATAAGGAGAGGATTCCGTGGTTTCTGTTTCCGAGACAGAGGTAAACACCTGATTGTGCTACGAGTATTGTTCATTGGTGTGCAAAGCTAAGGTGTCTTACTTCTGCTGCGCGACATATAGTTGAACAATCTGGTCAGCAGCTATAAATTCAATCGTAGATATTGTCGAATATCGACACCCTCGACCATTACTTGTTCGGAGCCACAGGTTATGCTGAAGTTAAGAATACAGAAACTCTGAGGCAGCGTCCCCGATCGTTTGCCTGCACACGGACAAATCGATGAGAGAGTATTCCTGGCTGGGCCAGGTTGAGCACAAACTTATCGTGCCCCGAGATATTGATAAATTTACCATCCCCAAATACAAAGGTCATTCTATCGCCGACGCTCCTCTCTAGGCTATGGCCGTGTCGCTCTATTCATAGTCGATCCCCTGACTCATGCGGCAAAGCTCTTCATACTCTTCTCGCGTGACACTCGGAGGTGTATACTTCAATTCTAGCCCCAATACCCGCAGCTCCTGCTCCAAGCGTGTGATTCGGTCCCATGGATACTCCTCCGGGTCGGTGGGCAGGAAATGATGCGGGTCGGGGTCGAAGTCGAGCTGGATCGTCCGCAGCGCCGGCGGAGCGGCGGCGACAATGAATCCGGCCATTTTCCGCAGCCAGTCCTCTTCCCGTTCCCCGAAGTCCTCGCATGCCATCTCGTAAAAGGACAGGTCCCAGACAAACGTGTGTACGGTTGGGCTCAGGAGTCGCTCGGCTATCGTCGAGGGAGGAATAAACCCGCGGCCAGAAGAGCATGTTCGTGTCTGCGATTCGGGACAGGAGACCGTGCGCCAGCGCGCCGCGTGAAACTCGGCGGTCAGTGGGGAATGCCCAAGAATTATACGTCGTAGCACGTGCGGATGCGCCTTCAACCAGGCGTTGATTATGTTTGCGTCGACGATTGCTTCCGCGGCCATCTTAGTCGCGTATCCCGACCCAAATGCGATGCAAAAGTCGACCGGGTCGCCGGGGATGGGACGTGGCTCGATCACATCACTCTGTACCAGCATGGGCAAGGATGTATCAAGATCAGCCTGGATGCTCTTTTATCCTCTCTTTCACTGAGATACTAGCAAGGTGGAAAGAAGTGTGTTGCGGAGAGAAGGGGGCTGGGGAGCGGTAAATCGAGATGGACAAGGACAAGAGAAGAAAATGGAAGGGAAAACCTGTATTGCATCACCACACTTGCGCGCCCTCTCGTTGGTCGCTTTAAAAACTTCCGTGCCAGTGCCCGGCAATGTTTGTAGCTCCCAGTACCCCTGTAGCCGACAATCGAAGCGACAATCAAACCCATGGACGGGGGAATCCGGTTCAGTAGCCATCTCGATTCGTCGCAGGGCAGGGAGCTGCCGGAGAGCATATTTAAGAATTTCCCATCGACTGAGGTCAATGATCTGGCCCGACTTGGCTTTGGTCCGTGAGCATGTCCTGTTCTTAGGCGCGAGGAATGCGACACCCCAAATCTTCAGGGTGCGGACCGCGCGACACCAAGTGAGGACATCGGCTGCCGCCGTGTAGTCATCGATTGTGATATACTCAGCGGGGTATATCGGCCTAAGATCCAGGACCAAAGACCGGACGAGTAAGGCCAAGGCCTGATTTGACTGCAGAGACCGGTACAGGCATATGACTCGTGGTTGGCAGGGGAAAGAAACTTGAGATCGTGATACTGAATGGGAAGGGAGAGGCGGTAGAACTGCTGACAGGTAAGGAGAATGGCGGTGAGGGTGTGTTGCGAGTTTTCCACGCAGATCCAGAAGATCTGGTTGAGAATCTCGGGCGGCAGATTGAGAATCGATATTTGGGACATCTCAGTAATTGAATTGGAGTGTTGCTTGGGGTATAGATGTCGGAGAGTATGAAGATGGTGGATTCCAGGCTATATAGTAGGAACTGGAACTACTACCTCATTGTATATCTAGACGGTGGCCGGAGCGGTGAGCTGTCCTCAACCAGTCAGAGGAGGCGAGGGACTCCAACAACTCCAGGCTACAGCCTGGTAGGTACCTAGCTCCTACTTTAGGTAGACGAAGGCCTTCTAAAGGCTCCATTCTCGATCCTCCAAGCGTTCCACGGTCGTTGTGGGGACTGGCTACTAGGCAGTAGCCCTGGCCATCAGAGGCTGAACCCATAGGGCTATGTTTGTATACCGATCAATATACATACATACAGAAAAGAAAATAGGTACCAATAACAACATGATACCGACTTTAAAACCTGTCTTAGCAAAGCCTATACAACCGGCCCCTCCTGCCGCAAAATTACTCCACACTTTCAGCATATACTTCACTCTAACACCAGTAAGAAGAGTATTGACAGTTGCGTGAGACTTAAGCTCCAGCTCTATGCTGCTTGTGTGAGGACCATTACCACCCCAATCTTCATATCCTAATTTGTAGATTCTTTTTCTCCTTTGCATACAAGCACCTGACTTCGATTTCTTCCCGCTTACCTAAAGAATTCCTCTTATTGACCTGTAAGCACACATTATTAGGCGGCTAACCTGAATCGCCTGATCTGAAATCCGCTGGAGGTTCCTATACTATCCGATGTACTCTCTTGCTTAGTGATATTGGCATGACGGTCACTAATCCTGACACGCATCCTGCCTTTCCTTTCGCTTGTCTAAAATCCCCCTGTTCTTATTATATTTTTTTTTTGGTTTTGCGTTTCCAATTCTTTTCACTACTTCTTCGGTCTCATGTTTCTGTCGAGGAAAAAATATCTAGATATTCTCTGTATACGGTACACAGAGAAGATATCTACAGTGTGTGAAAGGCACCACTACATTCGCCCGCGAGGTTATAGTCCGCTATCGCCTCTCGGCAGCGACCCTGTCGACCCACTGCAGATCAGCCCTCGTAGTGGGTCCCTTGCCCGTGGGTGTTCTTCCGGTACGGCCCGGTTTTCAGACTGGGCCCGCTAGTCATTAAACAATACGGATGATACCTGTTGGTATTCTATTCTCTTCATATCTCGGCTAGGGCCATCGCATCATAGCCCGCTACTCGCAAAATGGCACTGTCTTCCATAAAAGAGAAAATAAGTAAAGAAATAAACATGAAATACATTCTTGACGAAGCTGGCCTGAATTCCGAAGATCGATTCAATGTAATGCGCGTTCATCAAGTCCCCAAAAGCCTTCTTCGGATCGGACACAGATGCACTGTACAGTAAGTTCCAGCAAGAACCCGATCTACTCAATCCTAAGCATCCTCATCCGAGACCTCCGCATCCTCGGAACTTCCTTTCCATGTATGAATTCAGACCTTGTAGCAATTGTTCATAGGAACAATCGACATCACCGCTGGTATCAACCTAGAGGCAACATCATTAATTGACGGCCAAACACCAGCTGCAAGATTCATCTTCTTACCTTCACCAATACGCCTCGCCTCTCATAATATGCAACCATCCTGAAATTCTCAGCACAGTACTGCTGATACCGCGTGTCAAAGGTCGACCCATCGTCAACTCTACCGGGAAGCTGTCTGGCTAGCGCACCCGGACACTCAAAAAATAGAACCAAGTCGGGCGAACCGATCTACAAGACGAAACATTAACTTATCAATGGCACTGATAGTCTATGATATTGAGCGAACAGGCATCCTTGCCGCTTTTCCAATTGGCGCTGCTTGCTGAAGTGTACGTGGGACCCCATCAATGAGCGGCCGTAGCTTGTCTTGAGTGTCTTTCTTCAGATCCGCGATGGCGTCGCGCAAGATGGGTGCGAGGTCTTCCACGTCTAACAAGATGCTTCGCTGGACTTTGTTGAGGATCTGCGGCTTAAAGGAGCTAGAGCGGGTTAGCTGTCGCAAGAGGTCGCTCACTGATAAGTGATGGAAGCCGAAGTCGGCTGCGACTTTGGCACATAGGGATCCTTTGCCTGCGCCGGGGGCTCCTGGATTTGGAACGATATCGTTTTGGTGGAGAGGAGAATGGAGTTGTGTATATGATGATTGGGAGTGATTTTACCGATGACATAGGTGCGAGAGAAGCAGCGGAGGTCCATGGCGCTTATGGTGCTTGTGGAGCTTGTGGAGTGTATGTGTTTTCTGTCGATGTTGGCGGTGGTGGAAGGTGGTAAGAGAGTAGAGGCATCAGAAGGCTCCTTAAAATGTTAGGTTCAATTAGGATATAGGAGTTGATTGTGTGAATAAGAGCGGTATGTCGGGGCGGTAGTGAATGAAGCCCAGGAATTGAGGTGATACGATGATCTGAGACCACCCCGCGTTTGTACTCTCTTCATCCAAATCGACTGTACACAACAAATTTACCCCTCCCACGAAATCACTCCACCATTGTCAAGAGCAACAGCTGCACTTTCAAATTCTGGATTAAGATCATAGTCTGTACTTATCCACGCCACAACAACTCAGCTACAAAGGAAGTGCCCATCTTTTCAGCTCAAAACCCCGATCCAACACCCATCTCAAGAGTCACACCAAGCTTATACCCCAAAAATGCTCCTCCTAGAAGTTGAACGCAAATTCCGTCGCCTGGCTGTCGACAAACTCCACCTCAACAGCGGCCACCCACCCTTCCACAACCTCCTCTACCGCGGTCAGCAAACTATCCACGATACCTACTACGACTCCGCCAACTTCCTCTCGACCCGAGGCGTCTGGGTCCGCCGACGCAACAACAACTGGCAGGCTAAGATCCGACGCGGCGGGAACTTCTCCAACTCCAAGTTCGAAGAGCTCTCCACGCCCGCCGCCATTTCTGCCTATCTGGCCGAGCTCACGGGCGGAATGCGAACCGACGCGACGAACCAGTTTGGGCTGACACCGCTGGCGTCCTTTACGACACTACGCGAGAGCTGGACCGCGGACAACGAATTTACTATCGTGCAGGATGTCACGGACTTTGGGCATACCGTCGGGGAGGTGGAGCTGGAATTGCGGTGGGACTGCAGGGATGATCATACAGAGAGTGAGGGGGAACGGTGCAGAGCGGCGAAGATGGCCGAGATGGATGAACGGATTACGGTGTTTATGAGACGATACTTTTGGGCGTTTTGTGCAGGTGTGCCCAAGGGGAAGTTGACGGCTTACTTTGAGAGGGGGCTTGGGAAGTAAGGCCAATTATAATTCTTGCGGTTTGTGGGTGCGGTGTGTTTGGGTATTATGGATTGCTTTGGGGCGCTGGAAGTTGGAACTTGGGATGTCTTCTGTTTCATGGTTTTTGTTTCCAGGCTTGTGTAGAGTACAGAGTATGTGAGCTTTGCAGTGTGATCCGATCTCCTCTCTATGCTTTGTGGTACAGCATGATGCCCATCCTGGATTTCCCCAGTCGGAATAAATGTGCTTCGTTTTGAAAGAACGTGTCGTGGCGCCTGAGTTGTAGTCTCGAGATAGAAGCATGGTTGACCTGGATCACCATCAGCTCGTAATAAAGATGAGTATCCTACAGCTTTGTAAGACTTACCATTCTGACTGTGTAGCATGCAGCGGACCTCTTGAGGAAAAATACAGGCAAGGAGGCAATCTAGAACCACCACTGATTCTCTGGTCTCACGGCTAAAACATCCCCGACGTGGCAGAAGACCTGAGAAGCTCCTCAACAAACTGCATTCCTTGACCCAAATCTTCCACTCTAGCCGGGATAGTCACATAGGGAATCCCATGACTCTGCAGAGCAGTCCGGAAAGCTCTGGCAATTGAACGCCACTCTTCAACATCGTTACACGCCATGCGGACACGATCGGTCGATAGCCAGCTTGCGTTCTCAGGCTCGCAAACGATGACATACGCCTTCTTCATCTTCTCCCGCAGGACGTGCCATTCCTTCATTTCTGCCAGCTTCTCAGCCTCTGGTCGTCCCAGAACGACCTCAGCGTACACGATAGGATCGATTCCAGATCTATCTGAAATAAACCATTTGTTTCCGAGATTCACCTCAGCTTGATGCTGAGCTAGTATGGTGCGTTTCTGAAGCTCCAGCCCCTTACTGGGAAGTCTGACATCACTTGCAGTGAAGCCGTCCGTGCGCATGATGTTCCGGACAAGCTCGTCAACGATCGCGGGGCATTCGGCATTCTCCCCATACAGCTCCGAGACCAGATTGGTCGATAGGTGTGCGCGGAGACCCTCGACAAGGGTGGTCTTTCCGGTACAATGGGCTCCGACGAGGTAGATGTTGCGTGGCTGGTTCGGGGTGCTCATGGTGGTATAAATTGATCGATGTTGAGCGTGGTGTAAAACAGGCCACAGGGTAAACTTGCTATCCTTATCTTCGGGAAATACGGTATTGTGAGCTGATGATGGATTGATCAGTTTTTTTATGGTAACCTGTATCAGACAAAGTTCTTGACTTCATTTTTCTGGGAACAAAAAGCTATTTGCCCAAGAGTAGTAAGAAACGGTCATCTACCTCTTCCATTGGAAAAATGAACATAAGCTCTGTGGACCTTATTCACTGGATTGCCTTCATTTCTTTGTCGTTGCGTTGGGAATCTTCCGGAATTATTCATTGTTCTGCACACGAGCAATATGGGCTCGTTGGTCTTCCTACTGTCATGGATTCTGGCTCTTACCATACACCTGGCTTTGCGGAGCTTTTTGGTGACTCCCAACCCTTCAAAGCCCTCAAAATGCCCGGTATCCGTAAACTACCATTTTACCCGACGGTGCAATAAGGCCTGCGGCTTCTGTTTCCACACCGCGTCTTCCTCGCAAACATGAAGCGGGCCCTCACCCTCCTCAAAGACGCAGGCATGCGGAAGATCAACTTCGCTGGCGGCGAGCCCTTCCTCTACCCGGCTAAACTGGGCCAGATGGTCGACTACTGCAAGGAGACCCTCCGCCTGGAATCCGTCCCCATCGTCACCAACGGGAGCCAAAGTGACGGAGCGGTTCCTCGCCCGACACGGATGCAACATCAACATTCTGGCCGTCTCGTGCGACTCGTTCAACGAGTCGGTCAACATCGCCATCGGTCGTGGCTCCGGCACCCAGGTCACCAAGCTCTACGAGATCCGGGACCTCTGCCGGGCGTATGGAATCAAGTTCAAGCTCAACACCGTCGTCTGCCATCTCAACTTCAATGAGGATATGAATCGTTTCATCGAGAAGCTGCAGCCGTTCCGCTGGAAGTGCTTCCAGGTTCTGGTAGTCCCGGGGGAGAATGACTCGGAACGGCGGCTTCGCGATGCCCACAGGTTTCTGATCCGGGACAAGGAGTTTTCTCATTTCTGTGATGTCCATCGCGGACAGAGAGCATTTGTACCCGAGTCGAATGCGCTCGTGCGAAGTCATATTTGATTCTTGATGAGTATTTTGCGCTTCTCGGATCGAGACGGTCGCGAGCCGTCGCCTTCGATACTGGAAGTCGGGGTGCAAAGGGCACTTGAGAGTGTCTATTGGGACGAGAAGAGCTTCATCTCGAGGAGTGGGATGTACGATTGGTCGAGAGATCAAAAGTCCTGTTCGGATACCCATAGGGATTTAGATTGGTAGGTGGTTGGTGGTGTCGTGAGTTTATCCTGGGGATCCAGATTTGATATATAAATAGCAACAGCTGAAAGTGCACCATTTAAAGGCTCACTTTTACAGGAATGCTCGCAGGTCTGACCTGAATCAGAGGTCAGAATGAACTTCAAAAAAGATGAAAGCTATGTTGTTGACATTCATGGAATCGCAAGTCCCAACTTTCTCAAACTACAGTCAAATTGAAGCGAAAATGAAGTCATCCTGTACCTGAGTCGGGAAGCCACCGAGGATAGTTTAGCAGGCAGAGAGCGGGTAAGCGGGCCACCGCCTGCCCCGAAATTAAGGCCGCATCGCCTAATTGAGGCGCGTCTTCCGCCCCTCCACAATTCCTTTGACGCGTCAAAGCCTACGGTAGCTCTGTCCCTCAGAGAACAAACCCACCATCTATTCATTGCACACGGTCTAGAAGCTCGTGGAAGAGCTTGCATCATCACTCCCTACGCGATTCTTCCCGCCCTCATAAATACCCCCATTTGCAAATCATCACTGCTGTGAACACTTCGCTGTTGCCGTCCGCGCTTTTTGTCCGCGTTAACACGCGCCCACCTCCTTCCGATTCAACCACCACCACCGCCACCACAGACTCGTCGCCACGGGATGGAGAGCTAGGGAGATGGGCCATCCGTGCCAGGAATACTAATGGAATCATGGCGGGAGCGAGGCTTTGTACCGGACTCAGACTCGGAGGACGGGTTCGACAGCCAGGAGACGCTCAATTCCCGCAAGGATGACGAGCGGGCGGTCGAAAGCTCGGTGGCTGCTGCAGCGGTGGTCAACGACGTCGCAACCGACGTACGGGTCGCTGGAGCGGAGAGAAGGGGCACCGATCCTTTGCAGGATGTGAATGGAAGCGATTCAGCTCATCCTTCTACGCTCGACTCGAGCGTAGAAGAACATACGCACAACCTCCCCACGCACGAACCGACGATACGCACCAACCACGTATACGACGAGCCACCAACGGAACAACCAGCAGATGAGACCACCCCTCGAGCGGGTGGAAAGTTGGCTGAGGTGGACAAAGTCCTGGGAGATGCTCCACGCAGCGCCTCATCGACCCCAAGGGCAAGGGGGAAAGCAGATACCTGGGATGATTCTAGTTCAGAGGACGAACTGCGATTTGAGTATATGCGACCTCGAAAACCGGCCCGGGTCTATACTCGTGTCAAGAGTGTTAGTCGGCCACAACCAGCGGAGGAGAATTATGACTCTTCCACGCCTTCGTCGCCTTTGTCGTCGCTCAGTTCTCTGCGTCTTGACTTTGAAGACGAGGAGGATCAAGAGAAAAATGCTGCAGACAATGATCTGACGCAGCATGGACAGGAAGCTTCGAGTGGTCGGACGGCGCTGGAGGACTTGATGGAGTTGGACTTGCCAGGGAAGGACTTGCCGGAGCAAAATGCTACGAAACAGGATGTCATGGAGAAGGACTTCACTAAGCAAGTCGCGACGGAAAAGGACACAGAGGAGCAATGGCCGACGATGCAGACGCTTATGGAGCGCAATATGACCGAACAAGACTTGATGGAACAAGATTCGGCACAGGAGCTCCCGCCGCTGGACATTCCTGAAGAGCTACTTCGTGAGCTTTCTCAACCAGCGCGGAGATCTTTGCGAGAGCGCAAGGCTATCCAATTGCATCCGTACATGCTTGAAGATGTGAAATATCGCAATCTTATGCGAGCGCGAGGAGTCAAGCCAGTGCGCGTGGCTCAGCAGGAGATCAATCGTCCGGGTGCTCAAGAAAGTCAGAACCAGGATTATGTCGATCAACCAGAGCCAATGTCTGATAGTCTGGGAGCTGAATTTGAATATCTGCCGTCATCTCCGCCCGAGACTCGACTAACTGTAGAGAAAAGACCAATCGAATCATCTCCCGAGCGTCAACACCATCAGGCACCACGAGCTCAGTCTACTAACCGGCTCCCGGGTCCTACCGTAAAGAGGCGAAAGGTGTCCAAAATTGCAAATCCTCAACAAACTCCTCGGACTCAGACTCAGGCCCGGTTACAGGTCGTCATCGACAACGGCTCATCCTCCGCTCGCCAGGCAGATATGCCTATCTTCGATATCCCTAGTCCACCTCGCTCTGAGGACGATGATCCGTCTGATGTGGAACCTTCCACCACATTTCGAATCCCTAGAGGCTTCACGCCTGCGTTGAATACTCCTAGTACTGGGCCACGAGCTGCGACCACCGATCGAGATGTCACGGACTGGTTTGCACCTGAAATTGAGGGCAGTATGGATGATGGGCATCTCGAGGCCGCTCCCAGTCCTCTGGCCGAGGAAGGATCGCAGGCTATCAGCGAAGAGGAGCGAGAGGATACTGACGGCGAAAAGACAGATGAGGATGAAGCTGCAATACGGCGGCGTTATCAGCGACGTATTAAGGGAGTTCTCCCGGCATCATGGCTGCGGTTGGATCAGCAAAAGCAGAAGGAGGTACAGTTTGGCTCAACGCAGCGGAACAATGAAAAGATGTCTGTGAGAACGGACGAGACGAAGGGTGTTGCTAGGCGAGTGCTGAAACAGGGCGGCAATGCTAGACTGCCGGGCTCGATAGACGCACTGCGACAGCTCGCCGACCCTGATAGCGAGGACGGGCAAGAAGACAAAGAGGCTGACGAGGAATCCATTTCACGTCCGCTGGTGGCTCGACAAGGCGACGAGTATCCATCACTGTATGAGGATATGGATGACGACATCCCAGAAGACAACCGGATCGATGAGATGTTTCCCCCAGTCCCTCGTTCTACGTCAGGATTGAAAGCTCGAAAGCAACGGAAGAAACAGACAATCGTCAGAACAAATGCTGTTTCTTCTACTCTTGTCTCCAAAAGATCTCATATCAAGAGACAAGCAAGGCCAACGGATCGTATTTACCGGAAACAGAAACAAGAGAAACGAAGAGCGCTAGCTCTACCCAAGATTGGTGTTTTGGATGCACCAGATGTTGCTTCTCGACCTCGAAGCGAACAGCCACAGTTTCTCAGGGTTGCCGCACGCAAGGCGCGTACTCGTCAGGATAAGGGAAGGAGAAGTCCGTCTCGCAAGGTTTTCAAGTTTAATTCGCACGCAGATACCGAAGATGCGAATGCTTCGTTGCATGAATGGCGCTGCGGTAATCTTCGACAAACCAGACTGCCTCATATGCAAACCAAACCGTTCAAACAGCAGACCTCGCGAGAAGGACATGCAAAGACACAAGATCGTGTCGGCATCAAGAAAGGTCAAGTCCCTGTGAGGACCTTGGCTTCTTCTCTGTTGTTGTCATCCTACCTGTCTAGAGACTCCCGAGAGCATGGAGTTCGCGTTGAGGAGCACCCTCCTGATCGGGATTCAATCATTCCTCCTCAAAGGCCAAATGATGACCAAGTATCTCGTGAAACCGGTAAATCGGAGCAGCCAAGTAATAGATGGATTGTCAAAAGGAACTTCGCAGTCACCTCTTTTACGAGAAATGGCTTCAGGCCTGCGATGCTCGAAGAGGTGAACCCAGCCGGTCGACCTGTGTCCTCGGTGTCTTTCCAACGATCACTATCGCAGTTGAACCGAGACTACCGCGGCAAAAGCCTTCCTCGGATAAGGCGCGGAAACGTGGTCATGGACAGATTCATCGCGAGTCGCAGTTCGACGCCTGTTCCGGCCGAGAAATCAAATGAGCCTGCTACAGCTCAGATGCTTGATAAATCGAGCGTCAGAAGACGCCCAATGTTACAGACCCGGTTGCAGAGTCGTCAGACAAGGAAGCGTCCACCAAGACGGTTGGAAGTCAATGCGCTCCAAGAACAGCAGCCGCTCCAAGAGACAATAACAATCTCAGACTCGCATAGGGTATCGGAGGAACCGCAGCTTTTTAGTTGTCCCGTCGGGGCTCTTGAAGGGTTGCAGCGAACGTATCTCATTGACTTCAACATTACTCCATTGGTTTCAGGAACGTTCTTTCATGAGTCAACCTTCATTGGGAGCGGAGAGCTTTGTCGCTCCCTGAAGATTCTCACCAGAAACCTCGACACTGACGCTGGAGTTTTCACTTTGCATCTTGAAGACGAACGTCACCGCTGGGGTGCTTGGAATGATGCCGTTTCTTCCGGTCTCGGACTTGCTTTTGACAAGATTGTTGAGGAACTGGACAGACCGGTCGAGGGTCCAGCACAGTCTCTCACTGGAAGTGTCGACAAGCAAGGGTGTATGGTGTATCGGTCCTTGGTAAAATACGTCACAGACACTCTGTCCTTCATCGATCCGATCGATCGAACGGGGTTCGTGAGGCGAGCGCATAGCCTTGTTTCCAAGGTTAATGACACTTTAGCGACGCTGGTACCGACAACCGAGCCGGAGATGGATCACCTCCTGACAATATCTTCTTATAACACTGTATTCGTGAATATGCTGCTTCAGATTGCAGGACACGAACTTGTGGAACTCAGCGTTGCTGACGAGGTTATGATTTCATTGAAGCTGTCGTCGAAGCTGACCGTTGCTGTTATGGCTAGCGAATTGGGGCAATCCAGTATACGCAAACACCTTCAAGATCTGGAGTCTACTGAGGCCCGTGAAGGAGGAATTCGCAGCGGCAGATCTTCCCTTCAAGCATATGTCACTGTTCGACATGTACTGCGCAGCAATGAGAGTGTGAAAGGATATTTCGAGGACCTACTAACCCAGGCCTACACACTCGCTGACGAAGGCGACGTGAGAAATTCCAAAACTGTCTCTCAGTTGGAAGCTGCGTGGCGAAACGTATTCACACCCTTGCCCCTGAACGAATTCGATGTTCGTGGCATTGCCCAGATTGGTTCACGATTCCATGAACAGCAGGACAACTGGCCCGTCATCAAAATGTTGCTACGTCCTGCGCTCGAGAGCTATGAAGCTACTTCTGTCGTACAGCCTGTCTCGTGCTACATTTATTGCCGGGCTCTGTTTCATAGGTGCTTCCACCTCATCAATGGCTGGGGTTGGTGGGATTGCAAGCCAGTTTTGGATACTTTATACGATTTCTTCGCCAAGAATACTTTGTACAATTTGAGGCAAGAAGAGAACTACAAGTCCCCATCTTTTCTCAATGACCTTGATCGCAATCCTTCGTTGCAAGTGCAGCCTGGCGAGCCATGCTTCCATATTCTGCTCAAGATTATTGCAAGTGGATTGAAATCGTTGTCGAAGTCCTACGAAAAGAAGAAAGTTCGGAATTTCGCCTGGCGCCTGTTGCCGAACCATGGCCGGATGTACCCTAAGGAAAAGCCCATCCAACAGACCGACTTGGATGCCTTGAGAAACCACCACGACCTGCTTTGCACGCTGTACTATGCAGTTCCTGACGGATGCCGGCCTCGGTTGGAAACCATCCGGGATCTCGTTCACCCTGCAAGCTCTCATAGAGAAACTTGCAATATCAGTCTTCGTTCCTGGGATCGACTGGTTCGCTTCAAGCTGTCAACTGACGAAGAAGTCTCGGGGCTTGAGCCATTTGCAGATTGGCATTGTTACTTTGTGACCGAGCTATTGAAGCAGCATGTAATGGCTCGGCAAGAGGTTGAAGCCCAGAATAAAGTAGGAAACAAGTTCTCCGATAAATTGGTCGAGAAAACGATAGCACAAAATCAGCGTCAAATTGAATCGTTGCTGAAGACAGCTCTGAGCAACCTAAAAAGTGCCGTCAAGGCAGCACCAACATTACAGCATGCTCAAAAACTGGTGTCAAAATTGCCCGTGAAAGCGCTATTAGGGCTTTTCAGTCCCCAGCTTGCTCGCGTGAACATCATTATCACTGAGTCTCTCCTGGTGGTTCTTGCCTATCTTGAGAAATGCAACGCTTCTCAAGAGCAGGCCCCAGGAACAGCAGGGCAACCCGTCGCGCAGGACGAAGATAGCCAAGAGTATGGGGACTGGACCGACATTGAAGCTGTATACGGGGCAATGACTACTACAGCATCACTTGAGATCGAGTATGTGGAGCAGACTTTCCACCCTGCTGTGTCCCGACTTGTCTCCAACTGCTTTGGTGAAGACTATTGTCCCGAGGATGCAATCCTTCTCAGTGCTGTCGAATGTTGGACCTCCATCGCGCAAACACTTGTTAAGCACGGACTGCGACATTGGGACAGCTACCTGAACCCTTACAATGGCGATTCGTGGGCAGCGCTTCGATCAACCATGCAGACAAGAAAGTTTACACCCTTTTTCTTAGCAAGCTGCATTGAGAAAGACGCTCGGTGCATCGTGGACTGTAAAGTTCAGATCCTTGGCATGTGGATGGCCAGCTTGGTCGAACGGGTCGCCTTATTGAAATACCAACACCGCTTGACTGAGGCGTTATTGAATCACGAGGAGGCCAGTCCTGTATTGCAGAATCTGCCATTTGCCCTGGACCGCAAGAAGGGACGATATTCGCTCAGCTTGGAGGACATCAGCCAGCGTCGGTTGTCGCTGATATCCAGTCTTTTATCCAACATGCGTTCGCACCTTCAAGACCTTGAAGACGCTGGCGCACGCGATTATTCGAGCACAAAGCAGGAATACGCAGAGGCAATCCAGAGAATGATGTCATCGATGAAGGCCAATTATCAGGAGCTAGGAAATGGTACCAAGAGCGTCCAGGGGGCCTACGTTGATCTTGTCCATCGAGTTGTAGGGTTCCTGCAGCAACACAGCAGACAGATCTGCCCTATCGATCCGTTTTTCATCGATCCTGCTTCCTTCCCGCTGCCTTCCACGGACCCAACCTACATCGTCGCCAGATTAAAGAGTTATGAGCCCAAGGTCTCAATCGAGAGTGGGGCGAAAACGCTAGTGGTGTTCGTCCAGAGCGTCTCGGAGCGGGCCGCCATAGATGGCCAACAGGATTACCTCGTCAACCAGTTGCATTCCTCGATGAGCGAGACCTACGAGAGCGGCAGCCCGGACAAGCCCACGCTAAGGTCGACAATGCTGCAGGCTGTGTTCCCTGCTTACCTCGAGACAGCGTTCAGCAGTCGGGCGGCGTGGATCATAAGCCGGCCGATTGTGCATACCACCCGCCTTGTCTTCAAGGAGCTTCTCTTCACCTTCGACTCCACAGATGCTGCGTGCGTGGGGTCGGTCTTGAATATGTTTGCCTGTGTTTTTGGACCATCGTATCGTGCATTGCAGCTTCCTTTGTTCCGAAACGTCACTTTGCTTACCGACCCCGCCGCAGCGATCACCGCTGCCTCGTTCTTGGATATGATCACGTCCGCCTTGCCGATTGTGGAGTACATCGACCGCGGTACCACAGACCATCGTGCAGCCAGCGACAGCATCATCCTCCAGCTGCGGGCCTTCCGCCAGCTTGCTCTCGTCGCCCTCTCCATTTTCCCCGAAAGAATCGAAAAACCATCTGACCTTTCCGCAGCCATCTTTCCTGGTGGCGGGGACTTCACGCAGCACACTGCAGCCTTCACTTCATACCCAGCGGCCCCCACAACCCCGGCTTTCTTCCCCGAGCTCCGCCACAGTGCAACCCGCGAGCTACAGTGCTACATCTACGAGAACTGGTCTTGTCACCAGGGCAAATACTACTTCACCCGCCGAGGCGGGCACCAACCCCAGGAAGTCGAGGTGGAACCCGCAGTGGCTGTTCAACTCGAGCAATCTCCCCTGCTTGCGTTGCGGACTGCAGCCCAGAGCTTCCTGGATACGTTAGGTAAACTTGGTCTTATCGAGGATGACGCGGATGATGAGTGAAGCCTTCCTGTTTGGCTTTACCTGGTTTACGGTGTTGGTGAGTAGGTTGATTTGTGCTATTCTAAAGCTTATATATTCATGCATGATGATTCCCCCCTTGTTGAGAGTTGATGTACCGCGTATGGCTGTGGGTGATGGGGTTGATAAAGGAATGATAATAATAATACCATGTCTTTACATATTTCTTCCTTCGCTGGGTCTGTTCTTGGTGTGATAACCATGTTTCTGGACGGCTGTGATACTCCTTCCACCCAGAAAGTCAGTCCACACAACCAAGTAATAATATCGGTGCTGGATGGCCATCAAGGTACGCGATCAATTCCTGGTCGGTACAGCTGGGATCTGCGTAATGTGTAAGCTTTAGTATCATAAGATATGCGGTCGTCCTAATCAATAACGACATTTATAGTTCCATTATCCAAAGTTCCCTAATTTTCCTTCCCACCACCCCCTATGGAGGGGGTTGGGTAAGAGACCGCAAGTAGCATGTTTTTTTTGGCTTGCAGTATGAATGTAAGTGGGATCATCTGCAGGCTATACGTTGATCTCCGATGCCCTTGATACTCAAGGCTTAGACGTGCGATCTCGCCCGGGCTCTCATGTAGGTGTGCTACACATTCTTTTCCCGTAACCGCAACCTTATTGTTGGTTCATGTCGGACACCTAAAAAAAGAAACCTTCTAGAGCTGCGGTTTCCTCGTACTCGTAATTTCGTCGTCAGTGTTCCCCGGGTGTCGAATGTGGTCTAGAACTTCGGTCGATACAGGACTGCGAGGAGGAGGATAATGTTCGGCATGGAGACATCAGGGCCAACAGTCGACCGTACCAGCAACAGCCGAGTGACTAACTACTGATCATGATTAGGCCTGGAAGACGGGCAAGTGTGCCAGCCTCGAAGGTCACAGGGATGTGTTCCCATCCGGGTGCAGGCAGTTCCACTGGACAATGGCTGAAGGCATCCTTTGGCGTTGTAGATAGAACGACCGGTGCTTCAGTCGTTCCTAACTAGGGAAATCGCCCCTATATGCCACGGGAAGATCTGTGACATAGGTAGCCTATAGATGAAGGTTGTGGCTGTAGCTGAGAGAGCCACAGGACGCCGTGGGAATCAACAGAAAGTTATAGTCCCTTAGCTGAGGCAGTGCCTGGTAGTACACAATTAAAAGCAAACAGAGAAGTAGCTAGCGATCCATCCAAAAACAGCAAAATCAAATAAAATATTATGAAGCTCAACACTATCATAGAGCCCTTGAACTAGTCGAGCTGGATTCCATGGCAATTTTCTTTTATCCAAGAAGACCAACTGAGCATATTTCTGTAGCTGTAGCACTTTAAGTACAGTGTATACTTTTTTGCGCGGTGCACTATAGCAAGGAGTAATCAAATCACGATTAACAACATATAAGGGCTGGACGCCCGTTGAGGTTAGTGCCATGGGCAGTCATCTTGAGAGAACTCACTGAGGTTTGCAGGAAGACTAGGAGGCTAAGCCAAGTTTCGCCCTGCCATTGAAGTCTCGGGATTTTTGTTATAAGGAAATCATCCGGAGGTTCCCGAGCTGTTTTAACCACTTCCAGTACCGGGTCCAGTACCGGTGCTTCCGGTTCCAGTGCTGGTAGTGCCAGTTCCGGTGCTGGTAGCGCCGGTTCCAGTACTAGTGCTGCCAGTTCCAGTGCTATTGCTGCCGGATCCAGTGCTATTGCTGCCGGATCCAGTGCTGATACCGCCAGTCCCAGTACTATTGCCAATACCTCCACTATTCGGGGCAGAAGCAATAGCGCCAGCAACCTCCTGTCCGCTATCCCCACTATCAGCAGCTTTGGTAGCAGCCGTCGCGGCGCCATTCCATCCACCACCCCCAGCGGCAGCGACCGCGACGGCGACCGCGGCGGTAATATCTCCATTAGCACCAGAAGCGGCAGCAACAGCGGCAGCGGCAGCGGCAGCGACATTAGCTCCATCAGCTCCATCGGAGGCGGCGGACGCAGCGGCGGCAACAGCAGCACTTCCTCCACCCGCGGAGGAGGCGACAGAAGCACAGGCGTCGGCGACAGCCTTTCCATCTCCGCCACCAGACGCGGCGGCGGCGGCAGCGGCAACGGCAGCGACATCCGTTCCATTGCCTCCAGCGGAGGCGGCGGCGGCAGCAGCAGCAGCGGCGACACCCCCTCCGCAGGAAGTGACGGCGGCAGCAGCCGCGGCGGAGGCGGTATCCGCTCCACTAGCACCCGAGGCGGCCGCGGCAGCGGCAGCAGCAACTGCGGCGGTATTCCATCCGCTCGCACCAGCGGAGGCGGCGGCCGAGGCGGCCGCGGCAGCATCACTCCCTCCACCGGCGGCGGCGTCGGCCGCAGCAGCAGCCTCAGCGACACCCCCTCCATTAGCACCGGAGGCGGCCGCGGCCGCGGCTGCGGCAACGACCCCAACATCCTGTGCACTACCTCCACCGGCGGCGGCGGCAGCGGCGGCAACGGCGGCAGCTTGGGCATTCGTTCCTCCGCCAGAGGCTGCGGCTTTTGCGGCGGCGGCGGCTGCGTCCTGTCCACTGCCGCCAGAGATGGCGATGGCGATGGCGACGTTGACGACGACGGTGACTGGGCCAGGGGGAACTTCAGGGATAGAGGTCGGGGTGCTAGTCGGGCCAGCTCCAGATGTGCCGGAAGTCCGGGAAGAAGTGCTAGCCGTGCCAGAGGTGCTGGAGGCCCCAGACCTAGTGCTAGTCGTACCAGGCGAGCTGGAAGTAGGAGAAGAGGCAGTGGTAGTCACACTAGCGGTGCGAGTCGTGCCAGGCGAGCTGGACGTACGGGTGGAGGCAGGGGCCGTCGTCCTAGCGGCGGTAGTCTGTCCAGGCAAGCTGGTCGCAAGCGGAGAGGTCACCTGTCTCTTTTCCAGAGAGGGAGAGTCAGGCTCTGGGTGTGCAGCTGGGTTGGCCACTGCTAACTGCATAGCAAGCTGCAGCAGCACGATGAGGAAGTAAAGTTCAGACTTCATATTGAAGATAATTCAGTGCTATTCTTGCTTGTTAATGTTACAGATTGTATTGCTATAAGCCACAGAAGGACTATCTGCACTGCTTTTATATTGACACGCAGCGAGTTGCAATATGTCTTTCTGGCTCCAACAGGTCTAGAATCGAGGAAGGTCTAAAAGCAGATGTCTCGCATCTTTTCAAGATTTCTTGGCACACGACACGATATACGATATGATAAACGACGCCATATACAGCATAACATACAACACGATATTGAACGCGATAACCCGTGGGCCTTGACCTTAGAAGGCCTCTTGTACACTGTTCTAAGCCACCCTTCAGTTTCTATGAGCCACTCTTGCTCATACGGATACGAAAGTCAGTCAATTTGTTATAGGGTTTATGTTACATCGTATCAGGTTAAGGAAACAAAGAAAGACGTATTAAACGCAATCTGGGGTTCTAGCTTGCTTCCGAAAACAGTAGAGAACCGGTCGAGAACAATAGAACGACCGATGTGGGGCCGCTGAAGACCAATCTTTCGGGGCTTGGGAGTCTGGACGGCTAGGGCTATGTCTACACTACCATGGGTCAGATGCTAAGGTGAACCAAGATAACCTTAATTATTGACACGAGGCTTACGATGTCACAACCATGGAAGTGGATAGACTGGCTGTTCCAGGTTGTTGCTGCGCCCCATGTGTAATATAATTAAGCACGCCATAACCGGACTCTGTATAGTGGCTAGCATACGTATATTTCCTATCTTACGATTCAAGAAAATCTATTCCCAAGAGCCATCGGGCCATCAATACAGATGTAAATTCAATTATCGCATTGATAAAACCCCAATCTGGAATTCAGACAGCGGAGCAACAGGATGAATCACTGCAACAGTGGTACGGGACCGACCATTAATCTGCATTTCGGGAGGAAGCTAGACTCTTCCACCCATACGGGATGTTCCAGAGCTGGCCGTCTCAAGATCCCATGGAAGTCTTTGCCATGTCGCCATCCACCACTAGTTCACAACATAGGACAAGGTGTGACCAAACGTGGTTCGCCATTAGGATTCCGATTAGCTTCCTTAGGTTTGAAGCGTCTGGTCCATCAGGTCGACCTATAATACGATCTCTTCTACACTACCCTCCTATAGTATACTACATCACCCATGCTGCTTGCGGGAAGCATCCAGCATAGTGGGAATCCCCGGGATCCACCTAGGCTGCGCGGCGTATTGCCGACCCATTGATTGGCAGTCCTAGCACTGGGCATGGCCTCAACATGGGTACAACGATCGCACGTCATGATTGGGATCGAGCTCGTGTCTCGAAACCGAAACTCTTCATCTTCCTCGATGAGCGAAATTCTAGTCGATATGGCGAAGCAAAAGAGGGGAGAAGGGCGGCCACACCGTCTACTTCATGATATCGGCGAGAATCGTACAACTATTAAAGACAAGCCCGGACGCCATGGTGTGCCATGTCCTGTAGGCAGCAATCCGGCGGTGTAGATCGTTGATGTTGTTTCTTAAAATAGTCCCGATGAGGGTTGAGGGGCAGGTGTGGCTCAAACTCACCCATGGTGAAATTGCACGCGACCTGAAGTCAGTGGGCCGCGCAGCGCACTTCTGAGGACCCATTGAGGGGATGAGGGCTTAGAATTATATGCGACACCGCTTCTGTAACAAATCAAGGTTGTTCTGCACCGAATAGCCCGTGCCCTGTTCTGCAGTAGCGGGTACATCCGCAATAACATGATCATCCAGATTGGATTTGGTCTTTTTTCAATGGCTTCGCGTATTGGCAGATTGGGGATACAGTATATAGAATTTGCGTAGCCCAGCACATATGGGATTATAACGGAGGTGTAAGGATGGGGAGTGGATATCCCCATTGACATTAAAAGTCTGATCCTCTAAAGGAAGTGAATGAAGCAATTATATACAACGAAGAGAAACCCGTCCCTCTTGTTATGAGCATAGCCCACAAGGGAAAGCAAGAATGATTAAAAGAATCCATATCGAAGAAAACCCACATCCATGTTCACATCCCGAAAGAAACAGAAACTAAGAAGAAGTCGGGCACACCGTCGTCGTCGTCTTGACCACCACCGTCTTCGTCGTCGTGAACGGGATATGGTTCGTCGTGGTGGCCGTGTACACGGTCTGGACGGCGGCAGCAGCAGCAGGAGCCGCTGCTGCGTTTGCATCAGAGGTAGTAATGGTCGTAGTGGCGGTAGGGGCAGAATGGGTGATGGTGCGGGTGCTGAATTGCGTGTGCGTTTGGGTTTGGGTTTGGGTTTCTGTTTCCGTTTCGGTGGCAGTGGTGGTGGCAGTCGTGGTGGCAGTGGTGGTGGCAGTGGTGGTGGCAGTCGTGGTGGCAGTCGTGGTGGCAGTCGTGGTTACGGTGGCAGTGCTGGTGACGGTGCTGGGGGCAGGTGGGTTTACTGCTGGGGCTGCTTGAAATGCGACTTGGGTGTTAGTGGCTGTGGCAGTGGTAGTGCTAGTGGTGGTGACGGTGGTTGTCGCGGTGGAAGTGGAAGTCAGGACGGCAGTTGAGGTGGTAGTTACAGTAGCAGTGGTGGTCGTCGTGGCAGCGGCGGCGTTGGCAGCGGGGACGTTGGCGGCGTTGGTGGCGCCGGTGGAGCTGCTGCCGGAGCCGCTGGTTGGGATGCACATGCAGCCTCTGTTGGGTTTGTTAGTTTGATCTTCATTCGGGTGTGAATTTGGGGGAGGGGGTGCTTACGGCAAGGCCTGGCCGAGGAGCTCAAGGCCTAGGAGTTGCAGGGAGGGGGTGTTCTCGCTGGCGCACATGCCCGATTGGAAACCCTGGGCGATACACTGTTGGATGTGGTGGTCAGTATATTCATTGCCGGGTAGGTTAGATGGGCTGTGGGAAAGAGGGGCGACTTGCCTGGACGATACAAACATTGGCATCGCAGGATCGCTTGGCGAGGCTACCGTGTGAGGGCAATGCGAGGGCAGTGTAGCTGCTGCATGCAAGCAGAAGAGTTACAAACGAGGTGCGCATGTCGGTGGGTGGGTTGTTGGGTTTTCCAAAGGTGTTCGAGTGGACGATGGCGACTTGGGGTTGATTATAGTATTGGTGATAGAAGGATTGTGAGGCGTAGTTCTTGGTTGTACAGGCTCAAGCCGGGGAATCTAAGCATTTAAATCTTCTTTTTTCAGCAATCTGGTGATGCTTAGACTGGACTCAAGCCTTTGCGGCTACCGGGGTGGAATTCGAGAATGATACATCTTGTATCTCCCGCTCACAACATCCGGCCTAATTTGGGCGTATCTTTCTTTCTTTAGAAAGGAATGGGGGAATGCGTGGATCCTGAGATATAACCGTCCACCCCACGGGTGGCTTCGCGGGTGTTGCGTAGAAGACCAGGTGTCGAGAATGTGGAGGGTCAAGGGTACCCCAGGCAACGCCCATCTGTCAATGCATCAAGTATTTGTAGTTGGAGGAAATAAGGATGTAACTGGCGGAAGGTCGAAGTTGGCTATTTGGATTCGGTCAGGTACCCGACAGTTGGGTCTCATCCCTTGCTTCATCCACAATGTCATTCTTCGTCTATCAATCATAACACACAACAGCAATCGCCCCTTAACTGGGCACTCTACGCAGCCGGCTTGATCTGCCCCCTAAGCTTTGACATTAGTCTATGCATTACCATCAAGTCAATCAGTACCATTGGCCTTTGATAATTCCTGGATGACCAGATTTCGTTACTATGAACGAGATAGTGGTTGCCAATATCGAGCTTTATGTACTTGCTAACTATACCAACCTCATCAATCTCACAAAATGCATATAGTACAATTCATATTTTGAAAAGTAAAATGCCGTTCACCAAATCTTATGACCGAAACAGGCAGAGTACCACAAGCAGTCAAATTTTAACAAGATCATCATCAAATGGTAGAACTCCTGTGAATATGATAGAAAGGCCATACCAACTTAATCTCTAGTTTTTTTCACGAACATGGATTGGATGCTCTATAACTTTAAACCTGGTATACAAATGATATAACGAACTCAACGGCTCTTAAGTTTATAGTACAGAAGCTTCATCACGACACCAAGTTTCCTAAGACAACCGCCAAGACAAGGTATCTAGATTCAAGCGCGAGCACCCAAGGCTTCAAGCTTGAAAATGACTTGGCGTTCGAAATCCGATATGTACTGTGCCCTCCCTGGCCAGCTGAATTGCAACTTGCCAAAGACGTCACTTAGTGATTTCAGGGCCACAAGATTAGAACAATTGCTCAGATAACTATGCCTCTCAGTATCGAAGGGGGTTTTTAATGAATCTGCAATTCGCATCAGATATCTAACGCTTGTTAAACTCTTGCGAATCTTTGAGTGAGTTTGCTGAGTTCTAATTCAGCGGGCCAGGAAGTGTGAGCAGCGCTACCTCCGACATCAAGTGATATGGCCGCTATTCCCCTCCAGGGTAAGCATTCAACTGAGCAAACTTCCTCCGGTGTTTTATCGTAGGAGGTACAGGATCATCACTTTGCGCAACAGCTTTCAGTGCGAACAACGGATATCGATTGGAACTGAATCGTGTGGCAATTTGTTTCATTATCACCATGAGGGCGGTTGGAGCTGGATATATAACCGCTCCCACAGAACCGGTGATCTAACCTTCGACCAGGTAGTAGGCTGTAGCTGCCTCAACTATTATATCGGTATCTTTTTTGACCCCGATTCTCTTATGATAAAATTAGAGAGGATAATTTTGCACCACGAGTAAATCAATAACAGGGCCATCATCTATGAAGGAGTATAATGATGGCCGGATGATGTTTGTTGCCATTCAACGCTTCCGAGCTATCCGAAGACCCCCGAGCCCTAAGTCGGGTGCTGCCGTGCGGGCATGCCTGAGGCCCACGATTGGTTTCAGCCGAGTAGGGCTAGTACTCTAGTCCTCCTACTAAGACTGTAGCATACGCAACTAGCTCGCATCAATCGACAAATCGAAACCGGCTTACGGGCCCCTCAACTAGTGAAGTTCAGGCTCAGCCGCACAAGGTGGGCGAGGAAGAGAAAGGGGGTAACCGGATCCCGCGTTGGGGCAATCAAATTTGTATGTGTACAAAGATACAGATCAAAAGACCTCACCAAACTGTGCAGCTGCACCTTCCACATCGCAAAGGGTCTGGCCAAGCATCTTCCGCAGCTCGTCCGCAACAAAATCCGGATTATCCTTCTGCACAAAGTGACCGGCGCCCGGCGCCTGAAGCGGGCCCTTGCTCCGCTCCGCGTCGGTCAGCCTCGCCAACCCCTCATTAAACCGATGCCAGTAGGGATTCATGTACACCTCCGTGAGCCGAGGCGGCGCACCGCCCATCTTCTCGAATTCGACCTGAAACGCCTCGAACTCATGGCCCACCACCGTCACCCAGGGCCCGCGGCCGTCCGGGCCCTGCAATCTGGGCCCGTCGCTGTCCGGCAACAGCTGCGCTAGATTGCGTCGGCTCAGGCCCTCGCGGCTGCCGTTGCTGGGATGAAATACTTTTTGCATGTAGGCTCTTGCGGCACGGAGCGCATCCGCGTCCACCCCGTCTGGCAAGCTGCGCGGATTGAATCCGGCCGCGTCTGGGTCCGGGTAGATGGACACAAAGTCGGAGTTGGCGAGCACGCTGTCCAGGAATAAGAGCCCGGCGACGGTGCCGGGGTACTGCTGTGCATAGAGGCGGACGAGCGCGCCGCCGATCGAGTTCGATACCAGGATGAGCGGTAGTTGGGTCAGGTCGGAAACACCCATCTTCTCCGTGGCTATTTGCGTGAGGAGCTGGTGCAAGTCATGAACCACGGTAGATGTGTCGTGCCCGTGGGTGGGGTCCTCGGCAGTGCTGTCGTTAGGGTCGCGGTCGGTGGTTTGGCCCTGGCCGTAACGGTCGTAGGTCAGCATCGCTGGCAGGCCGACGGCCGGGGGCTGGGCCTGCAGGCGCGCGATGACGCCCTCCCAGGAGGTCTGCGGGAGTCCGAGGCCATTGACGAAGACGACTAGAGCGGGCTTTTTGACGGTGTCCGCGGCGGGGTGGAAGCTGTAGCTGAGCCGAGCGGAGGGCTTGGTGGCCAGCGAGATGAATTGATAGTGAGGCATGTCGGAGGATGAGATGGTAATTGGCAAAACAGGGCCAGTAGAAAGGCGTAGAAGAGCAGGTCGGAGAAATTAGGGAGACTGGCAGTAGAGGACAACTTATAGGCAGGCAGGCACAGGACGCTAATACAGTCAGCGGGGACCACATCATGCACAGCTGTGGACCCACAGCGGGTTAGACGTCGGATGAAATAGTCCATGGAGGATGAATATAGTCACAACCTGTAGCACTGCAGTCGATCAAGATCACGTTAACGCTTGAACCCCGTGGCCGTCATTCTCGGCCCATTCGAAATAACCCAGCTATTGGGATGAGCCTGCGCAAACAGATTCGCTCTGCGATGAGCATATCATCACAAGATCCAACTGGCCAAGCACTGCAGAGATCCGTCGAGATGTAAAAACATCACGAAGATCCCACTCCTAAGGCTGGAACACAAGGGGGTGTTACTCTCAACGCGTTGAACCCCCTCTCAACCAATCACAGCGCCCCCTCTGTCAATATGTCAACTGATCACGAATATCCACTTGTAGGGCTGTTCCGCTGTGATCAGTGTCTGGGACGTGTTGACAGGGGTTTGACGTGTCAGGGTCCAATCAGAGTGTCTGGCCTGGCGAGATGTCAACTGATCACGAAAATCCACCTTTAGGGCTGGCTCCGCTGCGGACGTGTTGTCCGGGACGCGGTGAGACATTCACTATAGCGTGGCTTTGGGTGGGTAGGTTGGATCCTATTTGATTGTGCATCTTGGGTGGTTGGCTGCAGGTCTGCCGACAGTGCCCACAATTTTGCTGTGGTGCTGCGGTGAAGTCAAATAGAAAACAATTATGTCCCTCCACGGCCACTTGTCCCTGCAGTGATCAATTGACGTCTCCCGATACTCTTAAGAGGGTGCCAGCCAGGTCGTTGGCTGCGGGGCTTTCCACTGGATTGACAGCCCGGCGTTGGCGCTCGCGACCGTCGTCCAGCTGAGATCGGTCTCGTCGCTGATGAAGGGCGTCGGGTCGGCCTTAGTGGGAGTCGGCTTGCGGTCGAATATGCGGATAATGCGGGCAGAGAAACAGTTGTGGCCGCGCAGGGCCCGCGGCAGCGAGAGGAGGTTGACGAGCTGGCGGACGTTGATTGCCATCGTTCATTGGGCGTCCGGAGCCAGCCCCAGCGTGGCATCGGGGTTGATCGTGCCGGTGGATTGCGCGCCCACCCAGGAGAGCCTATCGGCGCTATCGACGGCCGGGTGGACCGTGACGGTGATCTGCCGCGGGATAGCGAAGCTGACCTGCAGGAAGGTGTACACGTCCGGATATTCCTCCGAGGCCTGGTGCGCGATGGGGATGTTAATGCCTCAAATGCACGCCGTGCGCTAGGAAATGGAATCAAGTATCAGTGACAGATCTCTAGAGCCCCAGACGAAAGAGCCCATCGAGCCTTCTTGTCAGGCTAGGAAAAGTGTAATGCATACATCAACCAGAAACCACTCCTCCCCCTTGGATAACAGGGGCATAGGCAAGATCATGAACCACGATTCAAGCGCACCGCCCTTGTCATGGTCGCGAAACCGATTCCTACTCACGCGCAGATTATGATCCACTTTTCGATAACTTTCTTCATCACTGAAGGGCTTCTTACCGTACAAGAAGTGGATGTTCGTCCAGTTTCCATACTTGGTGTCCCATCAGTCGCCCTTGACTACCCGGTAGGCGGAGCGTGGATGGTAATGGATGTCCTTAGTGTAGTAGGCCGAGTCGCCGCTGTATACAGCGCGGTTTCCAGATATATTCCACCAGAAGGTGGCCGTAGAAATGCTCTGGCTTGTCTGGGTCATATGCAGAAGATCGGAGGGCGGAGCGCTTGCAGAAGCATTCGCCTTCGAGGTAAGCGAAGGACATTTTCCATGGGGTTCAGATAGCTTTCAATGCGTATTAGTTGAAAGGGTTGCACTAATAAATGTTCTGAGTTAGAACGTGGAATTGGCAGATATTTATGATCATCAAGAAGGTCCGTCTCAGTCGATCTGTATTTTGCTGGGCTCAGAGCTGGAAGGCCGCGCAAAATACGCTTAGACAAAGAATGATAGAAGCACGCCCGTTTCGCTGGCGGGGACATGAATCATAGTTCCAGTTTGACGTATACATTTACCTATACTCCGCACATGATCTTGTGACTGTGTTCGAAGGGATAATTCTGCCTAATCATGATTTGACAACTGCTAGAAAGAATGCCGGGGATGGTCAGGGCTGGCTGTGATCCCGATGGTTCCAGGCCAAACCCGTAAACTTGATCGTCTCAGGTAAGACAGCAGGTGTCAGACATGACTGTAAGTCACACCTCGAGTTGCAACTGTCGCGTTGGAGATACCGAGCTTATATCTTCGGACGGAGACCTCCAAGCACGACACGATTCGTAGATTACAAGATTCCTGTCAACAGACATTCTTCAAGTATGATCCTGACACAAGCATCTTCGCGTAGGACTGGTTGCGAAGACGGAGGATATAAAGCAGGCCATTCGCCACTGCAAGTTGATGTATCACGATGTGTGACGTGTTTCAGATCCTGGGAGAAGTAACTCTTGCACTACTGCAGCTTGACTGAAATGGGTATGGGGGATGTAGTGCGATCTTGTATCAGCGATCGATGGAGTCTATCGCGATTCCAGTTGCAGCAAGGGCTGCTCTGCTCCGCCCAAGACTACCCATATCCGAAAGCATTAGCAGCTCAGCATATGACAAAGATGGGGAAAAGAAGAAAACAGAACCTAATGAAGTATCACCACAGGGTGAGACAGATGACAGCCAAGAACCTATACTATAAGCCAGTTTCTCTTCACCCGAAATGGGCTACTAGACCTTAGCATTGCTTTGAGACGCGCACTTGTCCCTGCAGTAGTTCCCGGCATTACCAGTCAACGATGATTGAATGATCGTTGTTAAAATATAATATATGCAACTGTTCGAGCTTGCGTAGAGAAGAGAATCCTTGACCGGCGGTCTCGCCTAGCGGGAAAGTCTTGTTGCTCATGTTGCGATTAAACAAGGATAGAAGTTGCTTGCTGCGGCTAAGAAGAAGTTGTGCAGCCATGAGGTCTCTCAAAAAGATTCGTGTCCGTGATTTTTATGGACGAGGGTGGGTGGAATCGGTCTTTCAAGGTGTGAACGGTGCCTCACTCGCAAATTTCCTCAGGGGGTGGTTGTAATGGTAGGTTTCTTGACATCGGACGGAAACCAGTTGCGAGGGTCGCTAGTCAGTCATGGTTGCTATACTTGATCGAGTTCACGGTCGTGTTTTGATTGACTCCAAATATGAAGAGCGTAGATACTACCTTCATGCTTTTGACCTCTTCTCGCAGTTACAACGACCATGGGTTTTGAATGTACTTTTTGGTTATCTCTACTTCCTACGACGGGCACCACCAGCACCACTACCAGCACCACTACTCCCACTGCTCTTCGCGCAAACTTTCAAAAACCCAACCACAAACTATACACTAATCAGCACCCTAAACCACTACCTGACTAGAAGAGCCCAGCCATACCGGCTCATTATGACAACACGCCACATTCGTCTTACAGGACGAACTGCCGCTCACTGTACCAGAGATTGTACCAGAAACTCAGCCTTCATCCAACCAACACCCCTATTCCCGTAACAGCGATTGATAAATAGACATACAAGGAGCACACCCCACCCCGACAGTCAACGGCTTCCCCAGCACTACCGTCGAATACAACACCGGGCAGCATTTGGCGGATTCCCCTGCCGCGCAGGTGACGGGCATATCGCGCTCGACAAATTCCGGGAGAGGGGCAGCCATCGCGGTCGTGGCTGCTGCTGCGGCTAGGACGGCGAGGAGGTATTGATCGGCAAGCATGATTCTGGACCTGTGTGTTGATTTGATTCTTTTCTGGATTTTCGAGTTCCGGGTTATGGCGAAACGAGGGAAGTAAAGAAGGACTTGCTGGAGCTTTATATGCCTCTCTGATCAGCATATAGACTGCTCTGGGCCAGTAAGGACTGATCAGCATAGGGTCTGTGCTGGTCCTGCTTGGTTTAGATTGTAAGTGAGGGTGAACGGCCGGTGGTGTTGTACCATGATTCATGTCGCGTAGATGGGAGCCTCGGGTTGAGTAAAACAAAGGACTCCCTATGGAATAATCAAGGAAAACCGTGGAGTATTAAATGTACTAGGTAAAGTATACTCGTCTACTGCCATGCTCGGCTGGGTCCCGGGGATAGTTCGAGGACGGCATGGGTGAGCAGGAACACCAAGTTTCGGTTGTCTGTAATTGTCTATGCCTAAAGTCAGGACTTTGAAGAAGAATGTGTCAACTCTCGAAGTGGAAGATGCGGATGGCACGCCATAAGCTTTTGGGTGAATCCTTAATCAGCTGCGAAGTGCGTGGGTTCGAGACTCTTTTGGCTGGGTATCGTATGATGGCATAATCTCATTCAGCATGTTGCAATCAAGGATAGTATTTACTCCTGGGACTGGGGGACGATGCGTAGCCGACGGGTTTTTTAGATCATGTCTTCAAGAACGGCTGGAAATGGGATGGTTTGCTTCCTACTGGATATGAAGACTGTCAGTGTCGCGGCCTCAGAAGATGGACATGTGTGAATACGGTACCGCCGGTGGAGAGCCCGATGCCGTGGATGAACCCCCGCTAGTGGTTGTTTATTTTGTCAGTAATGCTGTGGCCTTTCTCATCGTGCCTTTGAAGTCACTTATATGAATGACCCTCAGCGGGCTAAACTAGTTTGTAGTGGTGCTGATCAATACCCAATGATCTCGTTGACATCATTCCAATAGAGGGAGGATATGATAAATTAGGTCAAGAATGATCGACCACAGTCAGGGTCAAACTGATGCTATATGGGGTCGATCGGTAGAAATGACAGAACGTTCAATAATGATAACCTTCAACAACGGAGTCCGAAAGGCACAGCGCAGCATTCATCTAGTAAACATGGAACCAGCCAAAGAAGTAACCACTTGAAATGCGATTAGGAACTCGAAAGCAGGAGAGGTGACCCTTCCTCGGTTTATCAAGTATTTCAAATCCAAATAACTAGCTCAAATAGAAACGGGAACACAGAAAGGAGGCAACTGGGATGCTAAGAAAAGTCCTCCTCTTGCGACTCAATGTTGTTCTTGATCCGCAGCAGGAGCGTCGTCTTCCACTTATCCAACTTGCTGAGCTGGTCGTACTGGAAAAGCTTGTCGGCAAAGGCTTCCTGGTCACCTGCTTCACAGGCTTGGACTAGGTCGACGAGGAGCTGGTGCTCTCGGGTGGAGGCGAAGGTGGTGTCGATGTCGCGGTAGTTTTCGAGGGCACGGTTGGTGGCGACCAAATCCTATTTTCAATGTTAGGCAGTTAAGGAGGTAAGGGGTAGAGTAAACCAACATTCGTCGCCAGGTGGCAGATGCCAGCCTTGAGGAAGTAATCCTTCACAGACCACTTCATAAGGTTGTTGTTAATGGAAGAGCGGCCAATGCGCTCGTAGTGCTCGACGGCCTTGTAGTAATCACCCTCGAGGGCGGCCAGATCCGCGGCCTTGAGGTAGTGCTTGTTCGCGAGGCTGGATTTACAAGGTTAGCCCTGCCAAAGAGATGACTCGAGCACTTCAGCGTCGAAAGATAGAACATACGCCTCAGCATTATCACCCTCAAACCATTCCGCCGCCTTCTCATAGGCTTCCAGAGCCTTCTTGTTGTCACCTAGTTCCACCTCATACACTTCGGCCAGATGTTGCTGCTGCGACGCAGCGCGACGGAGGTTTCCCTTGAGTACGTAGTGCTGGATGGCGCTGGAGAGCACGCGGGCGGCGTCCTCGGGGTCGGACTTGCGGTAGACCTTGAACGCCTCGGTTAGGGTGTTGGCAGCGTCATCGGGCTCGTTGAGATTCTGCGTCTGAATAGATGCGGCCTTTTCGAATGCGAGACCGGCTTCCTTGTCTGAAAAGGGGGGGGAGGGGTTTAGTGTCAGGTGGAGGTAAGGCGAGTGGGAACGCGGTGCGCAGCCTGCTTACTCTGCTTCTGAACTCGGAAGGCATTCGCAGCCTGCGAGTACAAGTCGGCGGCATTTTCATATTTTTCTGTGCGACCACCAAAGAAGCTGAAGCCACCAGATGCGCGACTCAGCGCTTGATCAGCCTAAAGAGTGGAGGAGCATGGCATCAGTGATCGTCATTCATTTGGAGTCGGGCATGATAACGTGGAGGGACAGCGGGGCGGGGGGATAAGGGGATTTTACTTTTTGGAGAAGGACTCGGGGATCTTGAGCCATGTTGAACAGTTGGAAATTGTTGACCACAAAGAAGGGCAGAAGCTATATTCCAGCTAGAACAGATAAAGGGTTATGAGAGTGGCTCAGCCAGCAAGATGAGGAGAAGATGGAGGGCGAACTGAAGCGTTCAAGGTTGCCGTCACTAACAGCGGGATCGAGAGCTGCCCTCCACATCAACGTAGGCGGTGGGCCATCCCGCCCTCCCATTGGAGGACAGCCATCAACTGTTGTGCCTTTTGCTCTTTTCCAGTTCTCTTCCTCCACCGCGGCGCAGTTCACCAGTTCACCAGTTTCCAGTTTCCAGCCTTCCTTGCTTGTTTATCTCTGCTTTCGGCATCTACAATTGGCACACGTGTCTACTGCATCATTCAATCTGACCAACTACTTGCGCACTATCTCACGTACTCACCATCACGACCGGCATGTTCTTGCGCAGCAGCAGCTCACGGCTCTCCGCCTTGTTGTGCCGTCAACCTCCGTCGCGCTCTTTCGTCGCAGGACATCGCTCGTATTCTACATCCCAGCCTCAAGGACAAGATGACATCGACGCGATCCTTGCAAAGCCGACTTGGTCTGTCCGCTCGCTGCTCCCTGACGAGACCGATAAACCCTCCACTCCCTCGGTGACTCCCGAACAGCTTCGCCATCTGCTCCGCCTGTGTGCACTTCCCCAACCCGCGAACGAGGAAGAGGAGAGAAAAATGCTCGACACTTTGGAGTCTCAGATTCATTTTGTGAAGCAAATTCAGCGCGTCGACGCCAGCGACGTTAAGCCTCTGCAAAGCATCCGCGACGAGACCCCTGAAGCGGTGAAGGAGAACACGATTGGTCTGGAAAAGCTCAAAGAAGCCTTGTCCAAGGAACAGGTCGTCGGACGCAATAAGAGGATTCAACGAATTGAATCGCAGAGGAACGAGCGACCGGACGGAGACATCTGGGATGGAAACGCCCTCGCATATGCTTCCAAGACCAAAGGCAAATTCTTCGTTGTGGATACCAAAAACTAAGCGCTTCCTTCTGAGGGGGAAGAGACCAAATTTAGGCATTTTGCACGCACGCTGGAAGGTTCATTCAACCTAGGAGTGACTTACGTGATTGTTTCAGCTGCTCGAAATAACCGGCGGGCAGTCTGGGCGCTGAGTCAGCCGTGATCTCATCTCCGCTGCAAGCGGCGACCTCCTGATTTCTGTCTCACTCACTGATGCCTACGTGATTGCAGCTTGTAAGACACACCTTAGCATCAATTGATGTAAATCCCCGACTGTGGTCATCCGCAATCATGTGGAAATCGTTCAAAGAGAAACATGCTAGCAAATTCGGCTCGGGCCATGCTACGCCGCCTGCTCCGTCTCCGAGTGACCGCGGAGCAGATCTGACAACCATCCTCGACCGCCCGCAGCGCGCGGACTTGACTGTTCTAGTTGCTGAGGCCATTGAGCAGATGCGAAATGGCATTGTCGCTAATTTTCATGTCGCGCCTCCTGCCGTCCAGGAAACTGCACATGACTTCTCTAAACATGAGGAGGACGAGGAAGATACAGACTCCTTGTTTGATCCTCTTGATCATCAAGACGACGAAAGTTCAAACGATCGTGCTCCATCAGAGGTTAAGGCGTCGACCAAGGACCTTCAACTCGAGGCCAAAGCTCTCGCGGGCTTTGATGACTGGAGAGATACCGTCCTGCTCCGGATCGGGGAAGTAGTAAATCGGGACGATGATGCTCAGACTGAATCCAGCCAATGCGACTCATCGCAAGAACTGCCCGAGCCACGTCTTGAGGAGGATGAGACTGCTTTGAAGAAACTTCGTGAGGTGTATCCTCCGGTCGAAACGCCTCTCGTGCACCTTCCCAGAGCGAAGAAACTGTTGATCCTACACTCGTTGCTACTGTTGATGCTGAGTCTGGAGCACTACAATGCTCGCTCACGGGTACTGATGTTGTACGTATCGTCTTCCTTAAACCTTGACGTCAAGATCCTCAATGGAGACGAGGTCAAAGTTGCCCGGGGACTGCTCGACACAGCTCTTCAGCTTTCCCAAGCTGAAGCCAAAGAACCGGGGAAGCATCGCGATCCGTCCAGGAAGTGGAAGGTCGGAATAGCATCTGTCGCAGGAGCCGCGTTGATCGGCATCACCGGCGGGCTCGCCGCGCCTCTCGTTGCGGCTGGTCTTGGCACAGTCTTGGGTGGGCTTGGCCTCGGCGCCACAGCCGCAGCTGGCTACTTGGGCGCGTTGGCTGGTAGTGGTGTCATCGTTGGAGGGCTCTTTGGTGCCTACGGAGGCCGCATGACGGGCCGCATGGTCGACAAGTATGCGCGGGAAGTGGACGACTTTGCCTTCCTGCCTATTCGTGGTACCCATCGAAGGTCGGAGGACGAGAGGGAGGCAGCTGAAAATGATCATATGCTGCGAGTCACGATCGGCATTTCAGGTTGGGTGACGGAAGAAGACAACTATGTTGTCCCGTGGAAAGTGATTGGCAGCGAGTCAGAAGTGTTCGGTCTACGTTGGGAAAGGAAGCCATTGATGAAACTCGGCAATGCCATGAACTACCTCGTCACGAGTGCTGCCTGGGCTGCTGGAGGTCAAGTCCTGTCCCGTACTATCTTTGCTCAGATTATGAGCGCAGTCATGCTACCCCTGGGGCTACTCAAGGTTGCTCGCGTCGCGGACAACCCATTCAGCGTGGCCAAGGCTCGTGCGGACAAGGCCGGTGAGGCACTTGCGGATGCCTTGATCAGCAGAGTACAGGGCGAAAGATCTGTGACGCTGATCGGCTACTCGATGGGCTCCCGGGTTATCTTTTCTTGTCTACAAACTCTGGCCAAGCGGCAGGCATTCGGCTTAGTGGAGTCGGCGGTTCTCATGGGCTCACCTACTCCGTCTAACGCACCTCACTGGCGCCATCTACGCAGTGTTGTCAGTGGTCGATTGGTCAATGTGTACTCTGAAAACGATGCCGTTCTCGCTCTACTGTATCGAACCAGCAGTCTTCAGCTTGGTGTTGCCGGTCTACAGCCTGTGCAGGGAGTATCAGGAGTGGAAAATGTGGACGCCAGCGATTTCATCAGCGGCCATCTGCGCTACCAGTTCCTAGTCGGACGTATTCTAGGCGTGGTGGGACTCGAGAGTATCGATGCCGACGAAGTGGCTCGGGAGGAGGCAGCCTTGGCGGTCAAGGATAGAAAGCAGGAGCAAGAACGACTACATAATGAGCGTGCGGCCGGTTTAGATGGGGATGAGTCTGCGCGGCGTCTTTTGGAGAAAGGCGATGTGGAGGGTGAAGAGAAGATGGAAAATGAGGTTGACCAGAGGACTAGAGAGGGCTTGTCTCAGGATCACGAAGTGCGCCCTGTCCAGGCTAAGAGTCCAATTAACCAGTGATGGGTATCGAGCTGTATTCACTGGACTCTTGACAGGCTCCTTCTTAGGTTAATAGAACTTGGACTGAAGTGGATTGAATTGAGGAATCTTGAACAATGTTCATTTAATCATCGGTACTTTGAATCATCCGTATTGACAAACCGTATTCACACTGTAGATTTCAAGATTCTCTATCATCCAGAGCGCCTCTTATTCCATGGAACCCTAAGAGATGATACCCCCCGCTGTCAACAAATTCTCCTTCCTCTTCCACAAACTATCCATTCACATCCACCCACATACCAACCAACACCTCTATCTTCATCAAACTCAGATTATTCTATTCCTTCTTCACTTGAGACTATGGAACTGGTAGTCGCCCATGCTTGATAAGGTCTACGTTCCAGCAGTGACCCATTGGAAGTCTTGAAATCCGGCTCAACAAGTCAACTCTAATGGCCTTCAACCCAAAAGAATCCAATAGGACCAAGACCTCAGCAGGTAAGAGGAGTTCAACAAGAATTGAAAGCCTGGTCTAATGCTCGAAACGTCAGAAATGCAGCTTTCAGACTATAATCAATCCTACCTACTACATTGAAACAAAGGATGCACCAGGGCCCTTCCACCAAAGCCCCCTGTTGATATGCGCTTGTGCAATGCCGCTACTTCCCACGACTACGTCGGGATATACTAAATCCTGGTAGCTTTCCTCTTGGCCGAGTTCTGATATGAGAAGACGGTGACGAAGTATCTCTAGTTAAGACCTCGTCGTGAACTGTGGCCGATGTATGTCATCGAAGCAGGAGATTCTGCATCGGCACCACCGATTCAGACAAGATATCAGTTGGTGGAACGGAAACTCGAAAGGCAAAGTTCTTCTCGCACTAGTCATCACTGTTGAGTGCTGGCCGTACTGGCCGCACTATGATTGTGGGAAAATATATCCCGAAACCTCGTCCAAGGCCAAGAACTAGGGCACAGGCCGCAGCAGCTCCTGGAAAAACAATCTCTATCCCATATAATTTGTGTCGGCAAGCTGAGCCTGGCAGCAGTGTTTCCGGGACTTACAACCTCACACATGATCAAGAGGCACCCAACTTCTTTGGAACGTGGTAGAGACTTCGGAGTCCTCATTGGTAGAGTATTCGATAGCTACACATCAGACTTATTCGCTAACCGACATATAAAGGTCAAGTTGGCTGCCTAGACGGGACCGTACAAGTGTCGATTTGGGTTCATGACGACGTACGATCAAACGAGGTTTGTGAAAAGGGTTGGAACTTATAAAGTCCAGCTGTTCGAGCGTTAGACTCGTATAGATACACACTCGAGCACCTCCATTGCTTCCACTCGTAAAGCACAAAATCTACCACCACCGCCACTAAAACAACTGCTGCTGCCACTAAACCTTCTGCAGATCAAAATCGCCTTCGCACTAAAATCGAGCGCATTCGGTAGAAGATCAAAATGATCACCAACTACCACGGGAGGTAACAATCAGGCCCAACGTTGAAGGAGACTGCCCCCGTGGTGGACAGAGATCGTTCGTCACGACACGAATGCCGCTGGAGATGCGGTCAGTCCCCTATAAACCCCGAATACGACCCAAGGGAGCCACGGTCATCAAGTGTAATCAGATCAGGGATGACCTATACAACGCCCCCCCCCCCCCCCCCCGGGGCCTGCAGGCCGCAAATCCAGACCTAAGGTGAAAAGCCATTTCCGTGACCTACACAACTATGATCTAAATTCAGCTTACCCTTTCCGCTTTGCAACCATATTCACCTGATTTTTTGTATCTGGTGACATGCTATTTGAACCTGCCGTGATCCCGGTTGAACCACAGATGGACTACGCCGCTGCGACTAGGCTGTTGATAAAAGCAGGTGGAAATGCTAATGACAAAGTTCCACAACATTTCAGCCTAGACATAAGCTTTAGGTGTGCCAGAGCTGAAGCTGTTCTTTGCACTGTCCCTGGTGTCCCTATACTACAGACAAGACTTTCCACTTCGTTCGTGCTGACGGCAAATATATCCGAGAAAACTGTATCTGGTTTTATCAGAGCTTCTTGTGGGACAACTCGGCCTGGTTGAATATCGCAAAAGAATGAGGCATACATCGAATCTACTGTTGTCGAAAACCAAGCGGTTAGCTGTCCCCTTGCTTGAGGGCCGAGCCCTGACTAGGCTAACGGCAACGAGGATTCGGTAGTCGACTTCAACATCCAGCCGACGAAGACTATGTGAAATATCTAGAGGAGGACTTCTACACGTCTGAACATCGTCTCCATCGCGACTCCGCCGATGATCTTTCTGGAAGTATCAACCAGTATACAGATCAAATGCCAATGGACCCTGATTCCTCACAAGAACATATAATTATATCCCGATACATATCAAAAGTTCCTAATCTCTGCACCCCCTCAGCACCATTCTAGCTCTGAGGGCCCTCCCCTCTCTATGGCCGTTGTCAAGGCATCCGTTGTGTTCGGGCCCTCCGGGGTATTATGGATCCTCTGGTTACTCTGCGTCGAGACTTCGTGTTAAGCTCGCGTTTGCACCCTTCAAGGGCGGAGTCTATTGAGGGGGCCGCGGAGTTTTCCTGGGCATGGATCATATTCCTGCTGGACATGACTTCTTGCTTGTGAAACGTCAACCGGAAAACAAGTCGCGCACTTTCATGCTGCGCAGGGTCTTTCCATTCGAGCTGTGAAATGAAAGCACGGCAGAGAGAGGTACAAGAATGATATTACCACCGAGATGTTGAGGTCCAGCGCCTCCGACAGGAGGGTTAACTACCGAGCTACGTGCTCGCCTTGGATTGCCGCCTCCTCCGTTCGATCCCGCTGCGCCTGTTACCAAACCAAGCAACCCGGTGAACATTCGTATAAAAACCGCATTCAGCACGATCTTTTCGGACAGTCCTGCTATCGTGGAATGGTCAGGGACTTACCGCGGCTCCTGGAACCTATTACAAAGCTCAAGCACATTGTCATGGGCGCCATTCCCGGCCCCGACGAAGAGGCTTTCGTTGTCGGACTTGGCAGACCAAAACAACTCACTCGTTTCAGGCATACAGGGCAGCTAGCTCGGTACATGGATGAATTCCAGCGTATGTACGGGTTTTCTCGCGACATACCATCTTACCTTGGTTTATCCGCGGAGCTTCCGCGTGGAATCAAATCTTGGGGTCTCGGGGTCTATGACACCCCTAGAAGGTGGACGGGGATCATACATCCAGAGCCCCAGGGGGCTTTCTGCCTCGAAGGGAAGAATCATCCATCAACTGTGAGGATACGAACCCCACATAAATCACTGGAATCTGGTCATAGAAAGAATAGGGGAAGGGAAAGGGGCGCAAGTCAAAGGTCGAGGAAAGCCAGTTACAACTCATCCCTGTCCCATACGTCTTGCTTCCGTCGATGACGGTTTACACATCTTGGGGACCAGTACCGTCGGTCGTCCATGGCGACGAAGACCACCCGCGCACGTCGGTTTGTTGTACGATGGAAAGCGCACGGGTATGAACATGATATATGGATAACCGGAAAGCATATAGGCGCATATGACTTGGTAGCAGAGTTTAAAGAAACGCGGGTAAGGGATATCGCACCTACTTACCTTATTTGGGATCGGGCAAAATATCACGCAGATTGCCGGGGGATAGGGGCGATGGATGGCATCGTGTATATGGAAAGATTGCCGATTCAGAACGGGTCTGGGCTTTTGCGCAGGGGGAGATGCAAGATGCAAGATGCACTGGGCAGGGTGTCGCACCTGGCGTTCTTCTGTATCTTATACCATTATGACAACTGTCTGGAGGTGGGAAGGACTACTTGTGCACGTCACAATGAATGCTGTACAGGCCAGCTTGTGACCCGCTGCTTATAATAGTGCTACTGTTGACTTGCATGACGGTGCACAAAACGTGCAGATATTTGATGACATTATGGCATTAAAAGATTAGAAAATCCGAACGACGGAAATATGACATATCATCCCATCACTTGACACACAACCCAATTAGACGGAAAAGACCCAAGCTCGCAGCCTCCGACCGCTCATGCACAGAATGATGAATCCACCTCGGTGTAGGTCGCTGTAACCCGACCCAGCGCAACGGCCTGGTTGTTAGTCAGGCTGTTCATGGCCGCCTCGGCAATGTTGAAGCCACCGGGGGCAGCATCAATGGCCGTCACGTAGATCGAGGTGGTACCGTAGGTCAGCTGGTAGCACTTTCCGCAGTTGGGACTGCCCCAGCCCGACACGGTGGGGGCACCTCCGATGTTGGGGAAGCCCGGGATGTCGGCAAAGGTCGCGTAGTTGAGGTTGGAGCAAGAGACAGTGTCGATCGACTGGCTGCCGGTATCAAACACAGTGTCGTAGGAGACAGACACACTGACGGCCTCGGCGGCCTCGGTAGTGGTCTCGACTGGAGAGGCTAGGGCGGAGGTGTAGAAGACGCTGAGAACAGCCAGAGCAGATGCGAATGACTTCATTTTGGAGTGACGAATATTGTCTGGGCTGGGAGAGTATGAAGAGGTTGTTACTCTTGGTTTATTGATTGCGTGGGTAAGAGGATGTGCGTCATGAACTTGATGAGCAGGCAATGTGAAGTGTCCGAGGAGCGGTTTATATAGCTTTCTCTCGTCCTTTACTTGATCAAAGCGGTGGATTATTGAAGGTAGCCTCGCTCGGCGGTTGCCTTGAATATGACCTACCTGGTCAATGTGCTGCTATGATCCGTCGCATCCGCCTAAGCACTGGAGGCCTGATGCTGGGAATAGTAACATGATCACAGACTATATCGTCCACGTATTTCGAACTAGGACAGTGACAGGTATAGATCTGCACATAACAAGGCGGGATTGAGACATCCCCCTCATTTGGCGGAGAGCAACACCACATCAGTAGTGAGCGGGAGAGACATGCGGGGGTGGCAGGGCCGCAGCACAGACAATCCGGACCAGTCAGAGCAAACGAGCTCGGGCTTGGGATGAGACATACAGCCTTAGAGGCATTTGCTGCCCTCTCATCCGGCTACCTCCGACTGGGAGAAGGCCAGGTGACTTGTCTTGGAGGCTGTGGGTTGACTGGCAATGGATCCTATTCATAGATCATTCGAGTAATACAACTGCAGCATGGCCAGGTCATGCAACCCCATGCCAAGCAACTCAGCATTTCTTCCCGTATTCCTTCTTTAACTTCAATCATCAATCTCGACGTTGAAGCTGCATGGGAATATTTTTACTGGTGAGTCAAACATGGCCGATTCGATGATGGTTCGAACCTTGAACCAAAAATCCTCTGCGAAGGCTTGATTACTCTGGGGAGTAGCTTGGCGAATGGTGCCACTTAATCATTAATTGTTAGAGTCTCATCATGCCAGGAGACGAGACGAGCCATTAGGGAGGGATCGTCGCATCCGGCGGCGTCGAAGCAGCGCGATGCCTCCCGTCGATCAATCCTTCCAGATCCGATGTTCGGAGTAGCCCCCAGACAGAATGTCGGGTACGCACAGTGTAGGAGGTCCGAAGTCCTGGGGTGGAAAACCACGGCCGCATTTGGGTTGGGCCGCGACGGCTTATCCTAGAGATTGAGGTGCCGAACACCTCCCAGGCACTGCACCGTGCAGCTGAGATAGTTGCTGTAATTTCCACTGCCGACCGGTTGGAAATCCCTCCAGAAAACACTTGGTCTCCGCATTCTTCTTGTTTGTTACCTGCGACAACAACCCATGTCCATTACACCAACAAATTCGAAAGTATTTTCCGTCGAGGCCCTGTTCATGCACTCTGGATCCGACGTTCGAAGTTGTGTTTGCTGATGACGATGGAGGTATCGGGGTAGCCGCAGTATGGTGGGATGGCACTTGGAGTAGACCACGGTTCGTGGTTAGGAGCTCGTTCCTTGGAACCAGCCTCACGGCTGGGAAGTTCGGTATAGTTCAGGAACCATGGATGAGCCATCACATGGCCGTTTCTGAAGATTGACTATCTATGGGCCTCACGAGGTGGTACGCAGCCGATCGGGTCAGCTTCTGGCCACGATGGGGAAATCCCGAGCAATTAAGCTTCAAGACCACGGCTTTGGAGAGGTCCGCTCATCCCTGAAGATCACTGCACAACCCGAAATGAGTCAAGGTTGGAGTAAGAGATGCGATGGCGTGTGGAAGGAATGACTTGGAGAAAGAGGAGCTGAGACAGTTGAGTTGGTTGTGTTAGTGAGACCTTGAAGAGGAATAAAAGCAAGAGACACGGAAAGGTCACTTGACTTGACTTCTCTTTCTACTCCCTACTCTTCTTTCTTTTCACCCACCACCAAATGTCAACTCTGTCAACTCCCTTCCTCAATCTACCACAGAACACAATCCTCAGCATTTAAGCAATGCAAAGATGCTAGTACCATGGATCATCTCCCACCAACAACCGGTCCCAGATTTCTGGGCCGCGATAGCCTTCCACTGGCGGAACTCTTGAGGTCGAGAAGCTTTGTGTCTACGTAAACTCCCTGATTGACAAACTTCGATGGCGTGCGAAAGCTACTAGCCCACAAGCAGTCAGTGGCTGTATAAGCCTGCAACTACTTGACTCAGCTGCGTTTAGACTCCGTCGCATCATCGGAGAGCGCGTGTTCCAATCATGAAGATCTTTGGCGCAACAGCCCGACTTTCCCGTGCAGATTAGATCGATACTCCGTCCTGCAGGCGATCCTGCACAGAACTTTCGACTCCTTCTCGAGCCCTCTAGCAGACTTCAGGGGATGAGTTGTTCCCGTATCGATCAGCAGTCCTCAGTAAGAAGCTTGTCGCCTGGTCCGCACCAACGGCAACATTCCTTTGGAAGAAGATCCGGCTACAAATTGGCGTAAACACTCATTGAGTATCTTCCGGCAATCAGATCTTGACAATCTTCCTCTCCTCTGGGATTGATTGTCTTTTCTAGACTTCCTCGCAAATCGGCGGTTGTGCAGCAGCGCAACGGACCCGGAGAATACTAATAAAAATGATTTTGTTCGATGCAGAAGTGGACCCCGCGAACGAAGACCGTGCAGAGTGCAAGCTACGGAGCGCTATTCCTGCTAAATCCTGCGCTAGCAGTATGCGAGCTTAGCATTTGGTGTTTTGGTCCCTGTGGTCCACTCACTAACCCACACTAAGCTTGACCCATTGTCAGATATTCGGATGCTCCATACCAGATCTGTGTGGCCCCTATCCGGGTCTGCAGTCGGAATAGGCAAGACGTGTGGATGGTCACGGCCAATTGTGCTGGCAGGATTCAACTAGAAAGCGAAGCGAAAATTAAGGATGCTTCGCGGAGAATTTAGACTCGACGTTGCCATGCATGATAACCCAATTTCTAGCCTGCCAGTCCCTTAGCATCTTCAACAACCTTCTGCCCCAGGATTTAAAGCCTGCGCCTGTCACTTTTCTGAGCTGGCTGGACCCTGGTACCTCTGTCGACCTAGCATTTTGGATCTGGGTACTCTTACACCGGGAGATGAACGATGCCTGCTCTGTCACTACTGTCACACCTGCTGTACAGCAGTGATGCTGGTCGCGCCCATCTTGCAGGTCGGTCGACCCCGCAGGTCGGAATCCTCACGGCCAGCGACAAAGCAGGGTTCATCGCCATGGGTGTTGTCGCTCTCTGTTCTTTTGTTGCATCCTTCGGTCTGCTGTCATTCCTTACCTATCGTTTCATCTTCTGGCGTCAATACTACAAGCGTCCGCTGGCACAGAACCAGTACGTTGTCTTAATTTATAATCTCCTCCTGGTCGATCTCCAACAAGCAACGGCATTTTTGTTATGTCTTCACTGGGTTTCCAAAGGCCATGTCTACTATCCAAGTGCACCCTGCGTTCTTCAGGGATGGTGGATTCAGATTGGTGATCCTGGAAGTGGTCTGTTTGTCTTGGCGATCGCCATGCATACAGGTGCCGTGGTTCTGCGAGGTCGACAGCTGCAATTCCCAATCTTTGTCGCCAGTGTCGTGGGCCTTTGGATATTCATCATCATCCTTGGTCTCATTCCCGTTGGCTTGTATGGCTCCGAGACCTTTGTTATATCCGAAGCAGGCTGGGTAAGTTCCTGAAGTTGCTTGGTACACGGATTCAAAAACTAATTTTTCTGTCACATCTACAGTGCTGGTTGAGTCCACAACACGAGACGGAGCGACTATGGCTGCATTATCTATGGATTTTCCTCTCCGAATTCGGTACAGTCATCCTTTACGGGATCATGTTTTTCTACCTTCGACGCCGTATGCAGGAGGCGGCGTCCCTGCGTCAGAATCACCAAGAGAACTTGAAGCGATTGAACCGGGTGGTCGTTTACATGGTCATTTATCCTTTGGTATATCTGGTGCTGTCGCTTCCGTTGGCGGCTGGCCGCATGTCAACCGCCCGGCATATTGTTCCTAGTCGGGCTTACTTTGCGGTGGCCGGAACCCTGATGGCTCTGTCGGGCTTTGTGGATGTGGCAGTGTATACCTTGACTCGTCGCCACTTGTTGCTGGAAACCGATCTCAGCGCCTCGGACAGGATGTATGCTTACACGGAGTCAGCGGCATACCAAACGCACATCACGACGGGTCACGGCCACAGCGAGACGAAAAAGCCGCGCCTGAAGACTCGATTTCGGCGGGGGGGCCTACAGAGCATCAACGACACGGTGGACGACAACCGCGACTCGTCTACCGAGGACATTGTGCGTAAGACGGACATGGAACTGGCTGATCTGGGGCATGGCGTGTACCAGGAGACGACCATCGAAATTTCGCACGAGCCAGCCGAGCCCGAAGATTTTCACAAGATGAATCGCCACAGCGGGTGATGCCGGTGGAGAATTCAGCCGGATTCCTACCCCACCTGCCATTCATTCCCTAGAGAATTTTTTCTCTTTCTCTTTCTATTTTCTTTCTCCCTTCATCCTTCTGTGTGGATACAGTCACTCTTTCTACTTACTGAGCATATCTCACCCCTTGTCACGATCTTTCTTACGAGAATATTCATGATCACTATACCAAGACCTGTATCTATATCTATATGTACATCTCGGTTGTCCATTGAGGGCAACTGATAATCACTAATGACTTCCTTCCTGGTGACTGACGCGGCCTGTCAATGCTGTTTGTTGTGTAATTACGGATACTTCCCCCTAGTTTCTGGTTGCACGTTCAGTTGTCAACCCCACCGACGGACACTGAGGCGGATACGAAGCCGGCTGCCCTGAATGGCACTGCCCCGACCAATGGGCGGTCTGGAAGCGCAGTCGGCATGGAGATCGACAGGTCAGCCCCACAACGTGGAAGCTTGAGCCAGCGAGAAATCTGATTGGTCTCCACCTCGTTGGCTGCCACACTAGGCCTACTCTGGTTTTTCCCTCTTCGGCAACTCCCTGCGGCTCTAGCTCCGACTTGCTCAGTCACTTCTCAACGAAACAGGGGCTGGATCGTCACCAGTATCGACAGGCAATTAAAGCTTGCTATCAGCTTCTCGGTCGTTTCCCGTTTATACGAGATGCCTGCTGGTTCTGGTGCTGCTAGTCTCCGGAGGAAAGGATGTCGCAGAGACACGGCAGGAATACCCTTCATCTGCCCGGACACTCGGGTCAAGCGAGACTGCATGATGCATTTGCTACTTGAAGAGAGGGACGGGTAGCTACCCAGTCACCGGGAGTTGCCTACCTTGATGCCGCAGTCTCTTGCGTATCTAGCGGCCGACACTTGCTAGCATATACCTGCGTTAAAACACATACTGCAGGCTTGACAGCACAATGAAGCACCTGTCTCTGCAGCGGTCGCTGGCGCTGTCATCTATGCCACTGACTCGCCGTCAACTTACAGCATGCCTCCTCTCTAGGCAACCATTCCCAACATGGTCATCCTTACCGACACGCGTTGCAAACTGCTTGCGCCGTCGTCGGTGGCAGCAGGTTTTCTCGCGTCTGTC